AATAATAATCGTGGTACAAGGCTTGTTTGTAAAATGTAGTAGGTCTTCACCCTTTTCACTCCCAAACTTTCTAGCTTCTGATTCATCCCTTTGCATCTCTGAATGTATTGCTGCTTCCTGGTTTTTGCATGTGGATAGCACTGGAGGGCTCTCACTGAGTAGGGCAAGTTGGCACACTCCCTCTTTCTCCCGAAAGCCTCTGTCCAGTGGTGCAGCGGTGGCCAGCGTTTCCAGTCAGGTGATGACATAACTGCTGTTCAGAGCTGAACTGTCTTGTGTATGAGGCTTTCTACTTGTTCCCCACAAAATCAGTTTCTTCAAGAGTTAGTAGAGGTCTTGGATTCTCATTTGACTTTCTTTGATGTCATAATTCAACCCTGTACTCGGAAACTATCTACACAGCCCACAGGCATGTTCAGGATGTTTGTCAAGCTGCTTGAAGAATATTTCCAAGGCTTCCGCTGACCAGGGCTGGGCCTGTTGCTGCTCTTAGCAGTGTCCTGGGGTTCCAGCTTCCCTCTTGTGGGTTGAATTTCACTTCCTTGTAGCCTGTGCCTTTTTCTTTTCCCCCAGTGAAGCACCACCCCCTTTATTTAGATGAAGTGTGCCTATTTTAGAGCTTTTGGGAAGAATGGCATTAGAGAAGAAAGCTTTTTTTGTGCTGGATGACGAAAACATGTTTAAAATTTTACTTTATTTGAAAGGTGGGGAGACAACACTGCCATTTGTTAGTTCACTCCCCAGATGCTTGCCACAGCCCCCTGGGGTCAGGCCAGGTCTGAGCCGGTGCTGCCCCCAAATCACCCCAAACTAGACTGAGGTGTTGCTTTGGGACCCCCAAACCTGGTTCTGCTCACCCGACACACAGAAAGCAGTCAGTTGCTGATGTCAGATGGTGGAATAAAGTGGATGTTCATTGCAAAAATCAGAGCAGAGAACCAGCAGCTATTGCTTAATTCCTGGGCTGCCTGTGGGGTTAAGGAGGTGAAAGTTCTTATAGATTGAAATCGGGGCTGAGGTGTGTGTCCCGCTCATGTTCAAGTTCGTGTTGGGTCAGTAGAGCTTGTGACCTTGCTCTGATTGGTCTGTGGTGCTGTGTTCTTTAGGGAATTTATGGTGGCTAGATTGGACTCAGGTGTCTGAGGGTTACATGTGGGTGGCAGTTACTTTCTGCCCCAGACCTAGAATTTCCCTGCCTAGGTCTGGAAGTCCCCTAGATCTGGAGTGTCCTCCGGACACTGGCCATCAAGGCTTTCTTTTTTTGAGATTTATTTTTATTGGAAATGCAGATTTTTTTAAGAGATTTATTTTATTGGAAAAGCAGATGTACAGAGATGAGAAGAAACAGAGGAGGATCTCCCATCCGATGATTCACTCCCCAAGCGGCCGGAATGGCCGGTGCTGCGCCAGTCCGAAGCCAGGAGCCAGGAACTTCTTTCCGGGTTTCCCATGCAGGTGCAGGAACCCAAGGCTTTGGGCCATCCGCGACTGCTTTCCCAGGCCACAAGCAGAAAGGTGGATGGGAAGTGGGGCCGCCAAGATTAGAACCAGTGCCCATATGGGATCCCGGTGCATTCAAGGCAAGGACCTTAACCATTACACTATCGCTCCAGGCCCCAGGAAATGCAGATTTACAGAGAAGAGGAGATGAAGATCTTCCATAATCTGGCTCACTCCCCAAATGGCCACTTTTTCCAGGTCTCCCACACAGGTGCAGGGTCCCAAGGCTTAGGCCATCTCCTTTCCCAGGCTATAAGCAGGGAGCTGGATGGGAAGTGGAACAGTTAGGACAAGAACTGGAGCTCCTATGGGATGCCAGCGCTAAGAGGTGAAGGATTAGCCAGTTGAGCCAATGCCCTGGCCATCAAGGTTTTACCTATTGACGAAGTAAATGACTTGAGTCAGTAAAATTAGAATCCCTTAGGGCCAGCCATATAATTCCCTCAGTTCAGTGAATTTCCTTTTTTTTTTTAAGATTTATTTATTTATTTTTATTACAAAGTCAGATATATGGAGGAGGAGAGATAGAGAAGGAGGATCTTCGTCCGATGATTCACACCCCAAGTGAGCACAACAGCCAGTGCTGTGCCGATCCGGAGCCAGGAGCCATGAGTCAGGAACTTCCTTCAGGTCTCCCATGCGGGTGCAGGGTCCCAAAGCATTGGGCCGTCCTCGAGTGCTTTCCCAGGCCAGAAGCTGGGAGCTGTATGGGAAGTGGAGCTGTCGGGATCAAAACTGGCGCCCATATGGGATCCCGGTGTGTTCAAGGTGAAGACTTTAGCTGCTAGGCCATGCCGCCGGGCCGGGCCATAAGATTTATCTTTATTGGAAAGTTAGATATACAGTGAAGAGGAGACATAGAGAGGAAAATCTTCCACCTGTTGATTCACTCCCCAAGCAGTTGCAATGACTGGAGCTGCACCAATCTGAAGCCAGGAGCCTCTTCCAGATCTCCCATGCAGGTGCAGGGTCCCAAGGCTTTGGGCCGTCCTTAACTGCTTTCCCAGACCACTAAGTAGGGAGCTGGATGGGAAGTGGGGCCACTGGGACTAGAACTGGTACCTACATAGGATCCCAGTGCGTTCAAGGTGAGGACTTTAGTTGCTAGACTACCACGCTAGGCCCAGTGAATTTTTTTTGGTGAGGGACAGTCAAGGACACCTTGGACTAAGGGGGACAGTTCAAATGTTACCTCTATTTACATTATTGGAATTTGGTCTCACCAGGAGCTCAGAACTCAGTGGGGACATCAGAGGCACTCAAATACTTGAGCTGTTGCTTGCTGCCTCCCAGGGTGTGCGCAGGCAGGAAGCTGGAATCAGAAGTGGTGTTGAGACTTAAATCCAGGCCCTCCAACATGGGAGGTGGGTATTCCAGGTGGCATCTGAATGCTATGCCAAATGCCTTCCGTGAAAATGTCTTAATTATTCTTCCATATCCATTCAGTACTTTGAGTCTGGGGTGAAAATCATACTCCCATAGGATTTTGAAGGTATTGGGTGATTAACTCTGGTTTCAGGTTCCTGTCATATAGTCTAAAGTCGTTCTGATTACTGACCCCTTATCTGTTTATTTATTTTTTTAATCTTCAGACTATTTTCTAAAATCACACAGTGCCATGAACACCTTGGTCTTTGCTCTTTGGGCCCTCTCTGGACATTACCATGTCCCAAGTTCTGGGAACTGTGCTGAATTATCTCACAAACAGCTTATTTCCCCCAGGTTTCTCTCTCTTCTCTATTTCTGGAACTTGGAGAGTTGGCGGTTAGGTCTCCAGGACCGGCCTTTCATTCTCCTATCCTTGCTCTCAATTTTCTTCTTTATCTCTGTGGGCGACTCCAGGGGAAGGTTGAAAAAAGCAGCATTTGATCACTGGAGCCCTGGCTGCTGTAGGGCCACCCTCCCATCTTCAGTGCCCAGGGGCTGTCTTGTGCTCCTCTGGCATGGACCCCTTTCTGGCATCAGCCTCCCACCCCTCACATCTTGTGGGTGGCCAGCCGTGCTGTCTCCCTTCTGTTTCTTTCAGCCCCTATTGTGGCAAAGGTTCTCTTTAGTGCACCGCGAACTTAGGTGGTTTAAAACCCTAAGGGCAGCTGTGCACAGGGAGTCTGCCTTACCCACCCAACGGTTCCCACAGGGTCAGAAGTTCAGTGTGCCCCCATCCCCATCTCCTGTAGCTCAGGGGACTTTGTGGGGGTGAAGGCAGGTTACTCAGCCTCCCTGCTGGATATGGGGAGTGAGTCTCCAGGCCTGTCTCAGGGAGGGGAGTTAACAAGTGTGCCACTGCTGGCTGTTCACAAAGGATGAAGATGATGAGGCACTTAAGACCTGGACCAGGAGTGCAGGCACTGTGTCCCTGTGAGCCTGGGGGTGCCCCACTCCTGGCATACAGCTCCATGGTTGTTGCCTCTAACTCTGTGGAGGTTCTGTGGTATAGACTTGACTTGATGGTGTCTTCTTTTTCTCCACTCTCCTCTCTGAGCTGAGTGGGTTTCAGGTCTAAAAGCCCTGGTTGTCCAAGCCCTGGGTTTCTCTCTCTGATATTGGCCCCATTCTGAAGGTATGTGAGTCCTCAGGCAGCCAGTCACGTCACCATTGAACATTCTGCACCCCAGAGGTTCTGGGAGCCTTAGGGGCAAAGGTTGCATTTTTTTTTTCTTGTTAATGTTACAGTTCTCAAACCCCAGAGAGCAACACAGATGAAACTGCCCCAGCTGGGCACTCCCTCTGTCCTCCCAATAGAGGTTCCCCACTCCTTTGCCTCAGAATCATGTGCCTCGGAATCATGCCACCTGAGCAGAAGAGCAGGAGGAGGATAACGTGGGCCCCATTCCCATTTCCTGGCTGTTCAAATCCCCAGGCAAGGACACAGCCTTCCAGAATTCTAGGCTCCCTGTTGGAAGATGGCAGTGACAGCACAGTCCCAAAGGGGTCACTAAATAAGTGGCAGGACACAAGCCAAATGAAATGACTGGCATGGTGCCTGGCCCCCGGGAGGCATAGGGAGCAGTGGCGAGGCGTAGGGCCAGAGCCAGAAAGTCAAGGACCCTTAGGCTCAATACCTGCTTGAATTAGATGGGAATGCAGGGAACTTGGAGTTCCCCATTTTGAGGATGATGCAAAGGGAGGCCAGGGAGAAGGGTACTTGCCCAAGCTCACATAAGTGCACAGCTTTATCTGTACCTGCTCACCTGTGTGGATGAGATAAAGACATTTTCTGCTTCACAGTGATTTCCTGGCCTGTTGGCCACAACATTCAAAAAGCCTTGTGAATCCAAAGGTTTGCCTGGAAACAAGTGACGAGGGCCCTGGGCAGCCAATGAGATCAGGCTGGCCTTTTCTACCTGCTTGCGGGGGACTCCCCTTCCTTACTCTGAACCATTAAAGGCAGCTATGCCTAAGCGGGGTATTTCCAACTTGGTGGCTTTCACTTCCACATCTGCCAGGGGGCGTGGTGACCTGGTATAGACGAATCAGATTCTTTGTCAGCACAAACTTCAAGAGGTGACAAGGGGTTCAGGGTTCCAGACACACCAGCAGCAGCAGCAGCAGGTGCCACAGGGCGAGAAGACCAGTGAGGCCAGAAGCATGGATGATCAGCGCGATCTCATCTCCAACCATGAACAGATGCCCATGCTGGGCCAGCGCCCTGGGGCCCAGGAGAGGTATGTGTGAGCCCCAGGAGAGTGCAGATCCTGGGCTGCCCAGAGTCATGGGAGGCTGACCTCAACTCCGCACACCAGGGCTCTCGATTCTGAGCACTCTGTGGCCTGCTTGGAGTTCAGTTCCTTAGAGCAGGGGGTCCTGCCCTTTTTAACAAGGTACACCCCCTCACTATGAAAGCCAGAAGAGAGTTCCAGATTCTCTCCAGATTTTTACACAGTGTTAGGGACTTTGAACGCCCCTTGAAGCTTGGGTTAGAAACTGTGGGCCAGACTTGAAAATATTCTCGTCTAGGTGGGGAAATGGCCTCCTGCCAGTGACTGAGTGGGGGCAGGTGTTTGTCCACATGGAGGATCCAGCAATGTCAGGAAGGGGATTAAGGGGCTCAGGGTGGGTGTGGCTATTCCCCCTCCCATGCAAGTAGCCAGAAGACTTCTGGGGTCTGTCTCCCTGTCTGCCTCACCCATGTGGTGTAACTCCCCAAAACAGCTAGAATGTAGTTCCCTCATTGGCAGTGTCACCCTCATCCCCTTACCTTATCTCCAAAAAGTAATTTCTGGTCTATGGGAACTTGCAGTGAGCTATAATGTCACCTGTTGCCAGGCAGAGGAAGGTTTGGGAGAGACGATCTGAGGTGTCCGAGGGGACAAGGCACCCTGCCTCAAGAGGTCATGAGGACGGCATCCTCAAAGTCTAGGGACTCCAAGGATGGGGGGGCGGACTCCCTGGGGAGCATTGTGGTCTGGCCCAGGTTCTGCTAGGGCCAGAATCTAGGAAAACTTGCTGCTTCTCTCTGTTCCCAACTGCATGTGGACTGTCAGCAGCCCTCAGGCACCATTCGTGTTTTTGTGACCCTATCAGGCAGTATCACCTTAGGTTTACAGAGGGGAGGCTAAGGCTCAGTGTGGAGATTGACCAAGGTCATTACTAGCCGCCAGCAAGTGTGGGAGGCAGAGCATGAACCCAGACTCCCCTGACTGCTAAGGGGGGGTTCACTCCTCTGTTCTGTCACCACACAGGTACAGTTTGCAGAGAAGGGAGGTGGGAGGGGGTACCTGATGAGCTGCAGACCCAGGTGGGCTAAGGGTGCAGAGAAGGTATTCACCCCCCACCCTGTCACCTCTTCAGGTCTCTGATTTTTAAATTGCCATCAGTTACTGCTTTTAAAACTGGACTGGCCTTATGTGCTTAGGCCCTTGCCCCCTGGAGCCTGTCTGAGAGCACCCTTCGCAACCACTTCTGCCCGGCAACATTTGCGTCATGAGTCATGCCGATTCTGGTTGGCTCCTGACTTGGCCAGTTGTTATTTCTTTCAGAAGCAGGTGATAGGAGTTGGAACCCTGCCAGAATCAGGGGACAACTGCTTGCGATGCACAAAGAGGAAGGAAGTCTGATGCTGAAGTTAACTATTTACTCTCTGAGAATAGTACTTGTGGGTTGTTTTATAGAGCACTAACTGTTCTTATTCAAGGGATAAACCCTCCTTTCAGCAGATATCTTAAAGATTTATTTGAAAGGCAGAGTTACAAAGATAGATACTGATGCTGGTCTTCCATTAGCTGGTTCACTCTCCAGAGGTCACAATGATTGGGCCTTTGCCATGAGAAAGCCCTTCTGGGTTTCTCACGTGGATGGCAAAGGTATAAGTATCTTGGCCATCTTCTGACTTTTCCAGAAGTGCTGGGCAGAGGCTGAGTTGGAAGCGGAGCAGCACAATGCTGGTGTTGTGGGTGGCAGCTTACCCACAGTGCCATAAGCTAGCCCCTCAGACTTTCTTCCCTAATCCCACCCACAGTTCCAGAGCAACACCCATGGCTGAGCCAGACTCCAACCCAGGATTTGAGACTTCATGTTCAGTAGGAATGTCTAGAGCCTTAGGCCTCCTGAGAGACTGAGCATCAGGGAAAGGAAGGAATTCCCAAGAGGCCAGAATCGGGGGGGAGGGGGGGTGTGGCGGGGGGGGGCAGGCTGGGAGCTGGGACCCAGGCAAGAAAGATTTCCTCTCAGCCTTAGGGGTCAGGGAACAAGTCCCTGTGTTCCTCAGGGAGACAAAGCACAGAAATATTTTTGCCTCCCTTTTCCCCAGGGTTTTTGCTTTTTTTTTTTTTTTTTTTTTTTCCTTCTAGAAGCTCTCACTTGGCCTGGAAAGTACAGAGCTGGCAAAGACAGCCAGTGTAAATGAGCTTTGTCTGTGACGTCATCAGTTGCTAGGGAGAAGGGTCTCCTGGAGTTCCCTAAACTATCTTGCAGGAAGCCAGGGGCAGTCCCATCCTGATGGTTTCCAGAGGGCTGTGTCTTAATTCATTTGGACAGAATACCACAGATGGTGATTTACAACAAGCAGAAATTTTTGCCTTCAGGAGGCTGGGAATTCCAACGTCAAGATGCAGGCATCTGGTGACAATGGACTCCCTGTGCCAAGCCCTTTGACCAGGGAACCTCATCACACTCCTAGGGGAGCCATCCTGGTGATGCAGTCACCTCCCAACACCTTGCCCCTGATGTGTGTGGTGGAGATACCACCCGTAGGGCAGGTGGATGGAGAACATGCAACAAGAGCCTCACATCCCCACATTGCCAGCTGTGCCAGTGCCCGCCAGGCTACACCCAAGCTCCATGGCCATGAGGCATCCCTGAGCTCTTGAGGGGCTGGTCACTGGCCACCCCAAGTGCGATAAATCCACCCAGGTCACTCAGGCTGAGATGCTTCTTGGTCACAGTCAGACCTGGCTCGCACCATACCCTAGTCACAGAGGTGGGGAACAGGAGTGTGACGGAGGGTGGGAGTGCTGCTCCAGCTGGTGGGAACTTACTTCAGGACACAGGGACCATGTGGGAAGTGCTGTAGCCCAAGTCTCCCACCCCACTCCTAACATGCCAGTCCTGCTTCTCCTTTCTGCGTTTGCCCTATCCTCTGCATCCCAGTCCCATTTCCTTCCCTTTTCTCCTTAAATGACTTCATTGTGGGAGCGGGGCCTTCCCCTTACAAAGTAAATGCACACATCCTTTTTTGACAATTGGAAAACAAAGGGGGGGCAGAGCCATGGTGTAGTGGGTAAAGTTAACAGCATATAGCATCCTATATGTGTGCTGGTTTGTGTCCCAACTGCTCCACTTCTATTTTCGCTCCCCACTAATGTGCCTGAAATAAACAGCACGAGATGGTCCCAGTGCTTGGAAACTGCCACCCATGTGGGAGATTCCAGTGAAATTTCTAGATTTTCCCTGGCCTTTGTGGTTCATCTAGGGAGTGAACCAGTGGATAAAGCAGCTGGCTCTTCTCTCTGTAGCTCTGACTTTCAAATAGATTAATCTTTAAATAACAAAACAAAATGCTCAAACCTTTTCCTTCCCTTATAGGCAGCCTTGACTCTTCATCCCTGCTTGCCATGGCACCAAGGCCCAGACAGGACAGGGACCTTGGCTCATCCCCTCTGAACCTTGCCCCAGGAGAAGCTGCAAGATTTCTCCTTGGGAAGACTTTGGGGGCATGGATAGATGGAAAATGCCAGCAAGCTGCACCCCAGTAACCAGCCAGTTCCTGTGTCTAAAGGACAGGTTTAGCAGGGGTGGCTCATCGGTCGATAGAGACAGGGGTGCATATCCCCTACCCAGCCCACCACTGGGACAGTCACCCCCCCCCTGTGGATTCCCTGATCCACCCCCTTCTCCCCACAGGAAATGCAGCCGTGGAGCCCTGTATACAGGCTTTTCTGTTCTGGTGGCTCTGCTCCTGGCAGGCCAGGCCACCACTGCTTACTTCCTGTACCAGCAGCAGGACCGGCTGGACAAGTTGACAGTCACCTCACAGAAGCTGCAGCTGGAGAGCCTGCGCATGAAACTTCCAAAATGTGCGTGCCCTACCTTCCTCCTGCGGCTCACCCCCTGCTGTCCCACCATCCTCTCCCTGCACTGCTCTGAAACCCCCTCCTGGTGCTGGGACCACACACATGCCATATTCCCTGTTCCACAGCGGCCAAGCCTTTGAGCCAGATGCGGATGGCCACTCCCATGCTGATGCAGGCGCTGCCCATGGAGAGCCTGTCCCAGGGGGTAAGGGTAGCTCTTGGGTTGGGGGGAAGGAAAGTAGCTAGTTTGGATGGGGCACAGGAAGACTGCTGACCCAGGAAAAGCCAAGGGTATCTGAGTGCTGGGGAGGGATGAAGAAGAGGGCTTGGCAAGTGTGTTGTAGAGGAGCCTCTGGGAGCAGTCCATGGAAGGAGTGTCTGATTCCAACCCCCCAACTTTCTGAAGTACTCCTCATGCCCACAGCATCTACAGGTCCCTTTGTCTCAGACCCTGAGTAGCCTGTATGGATATTTCTATACACAACCATGAGCTACTGACGAAGCCCTGGGCAAAAAAGTTTATGCCTATTCAACCATGAAGAAATGGAGGCAGCAAGCGATTAACACCAGCTCTTTAGTGGTGGCTGAGATGCCTGGGCTGCTTGCCCCCCTGCAGGGCCCATCACCAACTCTGTTCCTTACTCCCATAGCCCAAGCAGAATGCCACCAAGTACGGCAACACCACACAGGATTACGTGATGCACCTGCTTCTGGTGAGTGCAAGGCAGCTGCTGAGGGGCCTGTCTACCCCACAAACTGCCCCATGCCTGCATCACTGTGAACCTCAACAGTGCATGCTTGCTAGATTCCTGAAGGACCCTAAGGATGGTCATTCCATGTCCTATGCTGTCCGGCCTCTATTTCTAAGCTGGAGGAAATGAGGCCAAAAGCTTATGGACCCCCATCCTACTCTCCTCTATTTCCACTCTTGTCTACTCTGTGCTGGACACTGTGCAAGGTTCTGGCTCACAGAGGGGAGTCTGGACCCACGTGCTGAGGCCACAGAGACCTCAGGTAGGGTAGGGGACAAGTGACCAGGAAGAGGAGGATTTGTGAGGCACAAGAGCCAGCCTAGCTGGGGGCAGTCATGGAGTGTTCCTGGAGATGAGTGTCTGCTGCAAGAGGACGGGGCTTATGGGTAGAGCTAGCCCTGGAATTTGTGCATCCAGACTGCCCTTATCCTCTGCTTTCCCACCTTGGCTGAGGCCCGGCTCAGGCCCACTCGGGATGGGAGGCAAAGGAACGCAACTTGCATGCTTCACTCCACTTGCCAGGGAACTCTGTTTAACCTCCCTCCTACCCTGCCACTCTGCAGAGGTCTGATCCCCTGAAGGTGTACCCACAGCTGCAGGGGACCTTCCAGGAGAACCTGAAACAGCTTAAGAACAACATGGACGGCTTGAACTGGAAGGTGGGCATGTCTCCCTGTGCCCTGACCCTGTGTCTTGGGCAGAGGGACATTATCAGGATGCTAGGTGGGGTGGGAGCAGAGGGGGCCTCAGCAGCACATACCAAACCTGCAAGGTTGATGGGGGGTTGGGTTGAGGAACCATCTGGCTAAGCCGTGTGGGTTTCGACAGGGAACCAAGCCACAGCTGGATTGCTGGTGCTGAGGATCCATCTGGTCCGCCACGTTTCTATTGCCAGGGGCAGAGTAAGGCAGGTTGGGGTTTGGAGATGGCTACTGACCCCATTTCCCTGCCTCTTCCCTGACTAGATCTTTGAGAGCTGGCTGCACCAGTGGCTCCTGTTTGAGCTGAGCAAGAACTCACTGGAGGAGAAGCTCACCCCAGCTCCAACCAAAGGTTCAGGGCGGGGGAGTTTTGGGGGACAGGGGAGGGCCTTGTGGAGCCGTCAGGCAAAATGCCCCAGAAGCCGCCTTCCCACCTCTGTCTCCTGCCTGTTTCTCTGGGCTCAGGCAGCCTGTGTGCACTGCTGCTCTTTCACATGGTGATGGCCCACAGGGGACTGAGGCCTGCCTTCCTGTGGGGACCTCCCTTGTGGAGGACAGCACTGGGTAGAGGGGCCTGCAGCCAAGCCTACCCATGACACACCAGGCCAGAGTCCTCATGCCGACTGCCTGAGTGGTGCTGCCCGCAATTCTGGGGAAGAAGCCCAGGTCACCCGGCCCTGGGATGACATAGCTGGAGACCCTTCAAGGTGCTTGCTATTTGTTGTGCTGCTTCAGGCGGGTCTTCCCTCTGAGCTTTCAGGGTCCTGAGGTGAAAGGTCAAGAGTACCCCCACCAGGTTCACAGGAAGGGCCTTATAAGCTACTGTGCCCAACAGCCAGTTATCTCCAGATGCCTTCTGCCTCGTTGCCGGCATAGGGTTCCCCTTTTTTGTAGCTGGGCAGCCCCAGAAACAGGCAGCTTAGCCCTACCAAGGTGGCCCATAGCTGTTCTCTGCAAGTCACAATCACACTTGGGATTCCAAACATTTAAGGACTTGAAGAAGGAATCATCAAGTTCTGGAGTCAATTAGCCACACAGCCCTTCACTTCCCCTTCTGATCTTGTTAGGCCTCAGTTTGCTCGTCTGTATGATGGGTGGTGGGAGTAGCATTGCTTGGGCAGAAGGCATGAGACCTGCAGCCATGGAGTGTGGGTCTCACCATGTCTTCAACCATGCCTGTCGCTTCAGCACCAGGCAAGTGCCAGGAAGAGGTCAGCCGCATCCCCGATGTCCACCCGGGCAAGTTCAAACCCCAGTGCGACGAGGACGGCAATTACATGCCGCTCCAGTGCTTTGGCAGCATCGGCTACTGCTGGTGCGTCTTCCCCAACGGCACCGAGGTGCCCCACACCAGGAGCCGCGGGCGCCATAACTGCAGTGGTAAGCAGTGGCCAGGAAGGCTGAGGCCTGAGCTCCCTCCCGGGGCCAGGACACCGGGGATGGCAGCTGCAGGCAGTTCCATGCCCAGCCCTCTCTGCATCCCACTGTCCTTGTCACTTCGCTCCTCTTACATGCACGCTCAGCACCCACAGCCATCCATGCACTGGTCTCCAGCACCCAGGTGTCCCACAGACGCATCATGTTGACCTTGCCCTTTGATCTTCAAGCTCTTCCCACACTTCCTCCTAGGCACCTGCTCTGCCACACACTAGGGCTGCAGTCCCTTTAAGTACTCCAGGACACTGTGCTGGTGGCAGGGATGGGAGGGACTGAACGTAACCAGCATATCTGCTGCTGCTTTGCAGAGCCGATGGAAGGCGAATACTCCTCTTCGGGGCTGGGCATGATGGGCAAGCCGGATCTGAGTGCAGGTGAGGGCCCTGCGCAGGGGAGTCTCATTGCCAGCAGCCTCCCAGGGGCGAGTGCTTCACAATGGGGATGCAGGCCAGGGGCTGGCACAGCCTGAATGCAGCCTGGGCAGGGGTTAGTGGAGGGTGCAAAGTCTTTGGTGGTCCTGGGATAGGGAAGGGGGACAGACAACCAACAAGTGACCTTGACCAACACCAACCTGCAGCGTTTCTCTCCTAGATATCTGAGAACCGCAGTGGCCGCCTCCAGCAGCCAGCCAGCTCTGCATGCCATTGCTTCCTGCTCCCCTCCACCCCCAGTCCCTTCCATCTCCCACCCTGAATCTTATCCTGTGAAGACTCTGGTGCCTGACTCTGTCACAACAGCATGGACAGCAGTGCTCAAAGGCCACTGCCTCTAACTTGAGCAAACGCTAGGCAGATTCCCATCACTGCCTCTAGGATCCAGGTCACGGAAGAGGTGGGAAGGCACAGGAAGAGGGACACCCTGTTCCTAAATCCAGGATGGACACATCAGTGTTCCTACCCTACCAGCTTTGGCCTCAGCTTCTTGGCCCGTTCACCTGGGGAATAACCACCCACTTGTTCCCTTCTCCAGTCTCACTCCCTGCCCACCCCATTCCACCCCTGTTAACAGCCCCCAGGGCATGGCTTACAGAATAAACAGTAGGAGGTAGGATACTCGGGCTCTGGTTCTTCTGTTGGGGTCCAGCTCTTTATCACAAGGTCTCTGAAGACCCTAAGCCCAATCATCCTGGTGGTGGGGCTGTAGCCCAGAGGCCTGGGGTCCAGGGCACCTGTGTTCTGCGGACACACATGTGGCTGCCAACACACATGAAGATTTCTTTCAAAGGGAAACAGGTCTTGCCCCATGTTCTAAGTGCAAGTTCTTAGTCCCACGTTCACTTCCTCATACCCCCGACTAATGTCTGCTTAGACCAGCATGTGTATGAAGACAGAAGCACCTGGGGCTGGGGGTGGTGGGCCTGACAGGAGGGGCTGAGATTGGCTCTAGCCAGTTGTTGCCCACAGGGGTATAGTCCTGCTGCCAGATTCGCAGCTTTTCAAGAGCTACCAATCCAGAGCTTCAGTGAAACCATCGCATTCTAGAAGGCAGCCTGGCTGCAGGTCGGCAAAACCTGCAGAAGCTTGCTGCGGCCTTTGCCCCGACTCACACACAACCAGCCGGGCTGGGGGCACAGCCCTTGACCCTCCAGGCTGGCAGCCCTTTCTTGAACTGTCCCTGGCTGCCTGACGGGAGGCGGAAGCCATGGAGAGCACTCCAGCATCACTATGGTCCCACAGTGCTCTGGGGTGGTGGTGGTGGTGGTGGTGAAAGGCCTCTGTGTCTGGGCTGGAGCTATAGGTGTCCTCTCCACAGTCATACCCAGGTCTAGAGCTCGGCCCCTTACCTTCACCACCATGAAACCGCCATTTCCTGGGCATGTAATTTTTCTGTCCCTGTCCAGCTATCCTCTGCCTTGGAACACTGGGGTGGGATGTCCCTTCTATTCCTCACCACTGGCATGCCCATGATCTCTGGCATCCAGACACCTGCTGTGGCCACCTGAAGCCTTCCCCACCACTTCAGCTTCCCTGAGACCCCACTGCTGGTCCCCTGTCCCTCTTGGCCTGGGGGTGGGCGGGGCAAAGTGCCCCAGAGGCACTGGGAACACACAGTTTCCTGTAGGTCTTTTATTTTTTTGAGTTTTTAAAAAACCAAATCAAACCACAACTGGAAAAACTGGCAAAAGAAGGACAAGACCTCAGGACAAGCTGGGGCTCCTGGGGTTGGAGCGGGCTGGCTGGTGGGAGTCCTGAGGCCTTTGGGTAGGTTGGCTTCAAACAGCAAGAAACAGGTCCCTTAAAAATATATATATTCTGTACACATCTAGTGAAGGCATCTCAGGCCGTGAAAGATGGGCCCACTTCCTTCTTGGGCCAGCCTTCCTGTGGACTCACTGGCTTGGCCAGGGTGGAACCCCAGGGTTGGATAGCTTCTGCTACGAGGGAGGAAAGTTAAAATTCAGTTTCAGCCCATGGCAGGCAGAGGTCAGAGGCATGGGGGTCATCACCACTCAGCAAAGAAGAGATCCCTAGAAAGGAAATACCCAGATGTAAGATTTCCTGACCCTTCTCTACCTGGCATCTCCAACACGTGGGAGGGACATGTGCCAACCATGGCACGTGGGTGAGGATGGCTGCCACCCCAGCTCCAACCACCCTCCACCATCAGAAGCAGGCCCTGTCCTCCCACCTGGCTGGTCAGGAAGTGTAACTGCACCTTCTGCTGGCCCCTCACACCGCCTGCACCTGCTCGGCCGCCTTCTTCTGTAAAGAGGGAAGTGAGAGGGTGGTTGTACCCGCAGTCTCTCCTACCTTCCACTGCCCACCTCCTCCTTCATGGGGGCTGCAGGGATACCTGGGGCCAGGGACTCTGTGTCCTACAGGGCAGGTCAAGGCTCTATGCCAACAGCAGCTCAGCTTTCTGAGCCGTGATGCTGGCCACCGTGAGAATCCAGGTCATCCCACATAGAATCGGTCTTGGTACCCAGAAGGCAGAGGGCCCAAGAGGGCTGCCATGCGGGTCAGGCCTCCTGCCTCACAGGACAGGCTCCTGGGGCACACCTCCCCCAGCGGGAAGGGGTGGGGACAGGTCGGGTATGGGATGGGGCCAGGGCTGTGCCCTCTCTCCTGCCAGAGGCTCCTTCGAACTCTACCTTTTTCTTTTTTTTCTTCTGAAACGGTGACTCAGGATCTTTGGCTGAGGCCTTTTTCGCTTTCTTCTTCTTTTCCTTTTTTTCTTTGTCTTTTTTTCCTGAGGGAACAAAGTAAGTTTCCTGAACACCACCAGTGAATCCTGAGTGCTGGGGTCAGTGTTGAGGGGCAGGGCCGGGCACCCAGCTCTCCTCACAGCACAGGAGCCAGTGGGTCAGCCTCAAGTTCTGTGGGCCACCTGGCCTTGGCGACTCTGTGTGATATATCACAGCACTTTATTTCTCAGGGGCAGTTACTGTGGCACAAGGGTTACACTGCTGCCTGCAGTGCCCACATCACATACTGGAATGCTGGTTTGGGTCTCAGCTGCTACTGTTTCCCCTCTAGCCTTCTCCTAAAGTGCCTGGGAGGCAGAAGATGATGGCTGAAGTACTTGAGTTCCGGCCACCCACATGGTGGAGTTCCTGGCCCAGTCCCAGCCTTGCAGGCACCCAAGAAGTAGAGCAGAGAGGGTGGAAGGTCTGTTTTGGTCTTGCTGCCTTTCAAAAAGTAATCCTTAAAATTCTTTATTTTATTCATTTGAAAGGCAGAGAGTTGGAGATCCAGAGACAGATCTTCATCTGCTGGTTCTCCCCAGTGCCTCCCTTGGCTGGGACTGAGCCAGACCAAAAGCCAGAAGCCTCAATCTGACTTTCCCTGAGTGCGTAGCAGGAACCCACATACTTGAGCCACGACCGGCTACCTCCCAGGGTGCACAATTAGCAGTAAGCTGGAATCAGAAGTGGAGGTGGGACTTGAAGCCAGGTTCTCAGATAGGGTTTATGGAATCCCAAGTGGTACCTGAACTACTACACCAAATGTGCACCCCTAAGACGCATGACCTCACTGCAATTGAACTCCTATGTACTTTTTTAAAAGTAAATTGCACATGGGAACCTAGAGCAGTTCTGAGCGCTTTTCTGAGTGCCGTGGGACAGTATCCTTTGGGGGCTGCCCATGTACCCTCACTCTTTCCCATCACTCAGGAGGAATGGGTCCTCCTGGTGATTCTGGGATCCTTAGACACTTTCCTGCTTCTCCAAGCCAAGACAGTCTACACAGAAACCAGCAATGAGGTGTCTCTACTGTTTGGGGCTGTCCTTAGGACAAGGAGAAGCCCCCTGAGCTTGCAGCTGAGCACAGAGCTCAGACATGTTGAGGGCGGAGCTAGTGCTGATTCCGGGTCCACCTGGCACCAGAGGAGCTGGCTGGAGAAGTACATGCCTCTCAGGTCTGTTGTTTTGGGATGGCAGGGAGAAACATCACGGCCTGCCATGGTGGGGTTGGAGCTGGAGCTGGAAGCAGGTGCCTGTGACTGCTGGAGGCAGCTGGATGCACTTTGTGATGTGGAAGCAAGCTGCCCCTAGGGCTCTCCTGCTTTGGAATCTCCTTCTGCCTTGGCTACTAGCTTCCCACACAAACCTGGACAAACCACCTCCCAGCATGCCACAATGCCCTCCATAGGAGAGAGAACAGAGCTGACCCTCCCACCCTGTGGCTCCCTGGCAGTCCCTGGCAGCCCTTGGCACGGCCACAGGAGAAGCCAAATCACTTACTCTTGTCTGACTTTTTCTTCTCCTTCTTGCTCTTGGAGTTGCTTTGGTCTTCTCCCTCGGCCTTCACAGTCCCCAATTCCTCCTCTGGCTTGTCCTTGGCCCCTTGGGAGCCAGAAGGCCCCTTCCCCTTCTTCTTGCTGTCACCGCTTGCTTTGTCTTTCTTGGTCTTCCCCTTAGAAGTCCTAGAGGCCTTTTCAGGGGAAACGGCACCCTCCCCACTCGCCCCAGCCTCCAGCAGCTTCTTCTTCTTGCCCTTGGTGGCTGGCTGTTCGCCCAGCAGCTTCCGCTTGTGGCCCTTTTTGCTGGTTTCCTTGGTGGCGTCCATGGCCTTCTTCTTTTCCTGCTCCAACAGCTCGGTTAGCACCTTCACCACCGAGGCCTGCACCTGGGCCTCGCTCAGGGGCCAGTGCTCATTCAGGAGGCGCTGGGTGATGCTGCTCTGCAGGACCGAGGCCTGGGCACCCAGGGTCCCCTTCTTGGGCTTCCGAGGCTTCTGGGGTGTGGTGCCGGAAGCGGCTTCTTTTCTACCTGTGCAGACAAGAATGTGAGGTCACAGACCTGCGGAAGCTGGTGTGTGGAGGGTACAGGGGAACAGGGGGAGAGCCTGCTTCCTCTGCCAATGGTGCAGAAGAGGAAAGCGCGGCCCTAACCCAGCTCCTGAGCCCACACCTCTCTCCCAGCCTCACGTCCTGATCTCATTTCTGACTTAGATCGTCTCACACTCCAGCCTCCGCTTGGACAAGTTCAGCCTGTGGTTAGTTAGAAAATGACTGGGATGGGAACAGTGGGTCCAGGAGAGGGTGCTATGTCGTGAGTCCAGAGCTAGGGGTGGGAAACCCAGGTTCTGGACCACCCGCTGCCACCCACTTGTTCTGCTCCTCCTGGGGTCTTGGTTTCTGTTTGCAAACTGAGGAGCTGGACTAACAGCAAGGTTCCCTTCATGCCTGGCACACCCCTGGTGGCAGTGAATGCCATGTAGGTGCTCAACTCTGACCACTGCACATAGTGGGGCAATCGCCTCCCGGCCAGAGGTCCTGTGTACACACACGTGGGGGCTGACTAAGCAGGTTTACCGCCTGCCAGAGCAACTTCTGGTGCAGCCTTTGTTTAGAATTTTCCACGCCTCTGCTTGCCTTTGATAATTGTGTGCTGACTACACGTGTTAAAAAAACCTTCAACAGCCCCCTCTAAAATGTCTCCTTGTCGCACCCGCCTCCTACAAAGAGAACGCTGGGGAAAAAAATGAGCAACGGCTCTGCTTCTGACCCAGAATAGGGCGAGCTGCACAGAGGCTTGAGGCCTGGGCCCCATGGTCGCCATGACCCCCCAGGGTTGTGTGGCACAAAGCTCTGTCCTATCAGCACCTGAGGGGGCTCACTGCAAGGAGAGGCAGGAGTCTGACCCAGGCTTTTGGGGACTCATGGCAAGGACCACCTGGAAAAGGATGCAGAGTATACAGCCTGCCCAGGCAGCCTCTCCTCCAGAGCCCACCTCTCTGCTCACCCATAGAGGCCTGAACATGCAGGGACTCCCTGAGCTGTCCTTGCTGTGTCCATCTGAGACACCTGTCTTTCCGCAATGTCCGAGGTGACAAAGCACTCCAGGTCAGGTGACCAGAGTACTCTGTCCATTCAAATACCATGCAGCTATGTTCCATGGGCGGTCATGCTTCACTGCCCCCTGACTCATGTGGCCAAGGCCCTGTGTGAGGGCATGTCTTACCGGTCTCCTCTGTGTCTCTTCCAAATATGGCCCCAGCCTTTGACCAGAGCCGTCCTTAGGCGCTCTATAACCCAGGCCACAAGCCCACTTGCTGGGAAGACAAGTCAGCCGGAAGGTTACAGAGAAACAAGGCCCACTTCACAGGGCCAGACTACAGACACTCCTGCACCCGGAGGTCTACACCATGACCACGAGGCTGCACTTGGACGGGTCCTCGTGGCCACCATAACTGTTCTGCTGGGACTGTTGCTAGGACAAGAAGGGCCCACAGCCCCGGCTCCCCACACTCAGCTGTGGCTGTACACTCACCTTTTTTAGGGGACGTGGTGTCCACTCCTCGTGGGGGCTCTGCCTCCTGCTTGCCATTCGGGTTGTCTTTGGTAGTTGGAGTTGAGAACACTAACGGTTTGGGGTCTGGCCTGGGAGTTGCCTTTGAAACCTGGGAATTGGCTGGCGTCAGCCCAGGGGTCACATAACCTGAGAGGAGAGACTGTGGAAGGCCAGTGTGAGAGAGGCTGCCAACCCAGCCTAGCCCAGCCTAGCCCAGTCTGCCCTCCCACAGGAAGCCTGAAACAAGAAGCCAGACCCCAGCATCCCCAAGACTCCCCAGGACCAGGCCAGCTCTGTCAGTGCAGTGGGTGGGCACTGCAGCCCAGAGCAGGACTTGAGCGTGCACCTCCTCAACTATTTTAATTAATGCACTCTCTAGACAGACACATTGAAAAAGGAAATTTCCTATTATAAATACAAATGGCGGGTTGGCATTTGGTATGGTGGTTAAGTGGCTGTGTGAGCCGCCCACAGCCCATATGGGAGTGCCCAGGGTTCAAGTTTCAGCTGTGTTCTCCATTGTAGCTTCCGGCTCAGGTACACCCTGGGAAGCAGCAGGTGATGGCTCAAGTCCTTGAGTCCCTCCTCTCGCAGGAGAGCCAGATGGAGCCTTGGTTTTGGTCTGGCCCAGCTCAGGCTGCTGAGCTAGCCCACTTGGTGAGTGAATCAGGGGATGAGACTTCTGTCTCAGTCTTACTGCCTTTCAAATAAAACAACAAGAACAACAAAAAAGCCCAAAGCAACACCAGCACCAAAGCCATCAGTCAGCAGCCCGTGCCAGGAACAGAGGACAGCCTCCAAGCAGGAGCATTGCTGTCTGGCACTACCCTGAATACGAGGGAATCCCTGCAATATTCCTGGAGGCAGTCGACCTGCGGCTCCAGTTAAGTGGAACCTCAGGGCAGGGGATAGCTTGGTGTGTCCTGTTGTGTGGGTCCCACTGGGTGGCCCATAGGCAGACAGGACTTGGCCCGGGAATTGCAGTAAGACCCATGAAGCCACCATCCAGGCCCCTTGCGGTTACCTGGGAAGGTGCCACCACCTCGTCGTCACTGGACTCGGAAGTCTCTTCCACCAAGATCTCCTTCCCAGCAGGGACTGCACCTGCTGGAGAAGCATAAGAATCCTGTTGGGAAGGCCCTGCCAGCTGGGTAGGGCAGGGCCCTGCAGGAGGGCCTGAGGACACTCTGGTCTTGGACTGTGGCCCTTACCCACCTGCCCGGGGCTTCCCATGGCTCTCCACCCACAGCAATCCAGCTGAGATGCCTGAACATCCAGGCCTTGCTTTCTAATTCCTGGGGTCCCTCTCATGATTCCCTGTCTTCTCTGGTGGGGTAGCATGAACCTGGAATTTTAGGGACTGGGCCATTAAAGAAAGGAAGCCTAATTCCAAAAAGCCAGCCGTGACCAGGTTTTTGAAATCTTTTGCACTGGGTTCCTGTGGTTGCTGTAGCATGGTCTGGCTGAGGCCACAGAAGCAGCAGAGCCAGAGACCAGAGCTTGCAGCTCCTGCCCTTGGCTTCTGTGTGTTCCCTTTCCCTCCTCTTCCTGTACCTGGCTTGGGGGCCGACTTGGCCAGCGGGGGCCCCTCAGCACCCTCCTCGCTCCCTGAGGAGCTGCTGCTCCTGTCTTCGCTGTGTTTGGAGCTCCTGGGGGCTTTGGCTTTAGGGTGTCCCGAGGGAGGGACAGTGGCCTGCTGGCCCTTGGCTTTTCCAAGCTTGTTGGCCACTCTGGCCTGGAGAGGGGTACTCTGTAGGCCTGTCACAGGGACTGTTCCTGCAGCACCGTCAACCTAATTAGGGAAGAAGAATCTGGGTTAAAACCTGGCATTGCCTGAAAACCTCAACAGGGCTAGGGCGCTGTGCTGCCTCCCAACACTGCTGATGGTGGGCACTGCAATCCCTTCTCACAGATCAGCCTGCTGAGGCCCAGGATTATAGACAAGCACTGGGGTACCCTCCCATCTGCACTCAGGGGCCTCACCTCTGAAGCAGAGCTGAAGGGTGTGGGCCCCTCTGGCCCTCAAAACTCACCCCACTTGAAGACTGGGTTCCAGCATGAGGAGACTGGGCCTGGTTGGCTTTTTGGGCCAGGACCTTCAGGGCAGCCTGGGTCAGTGGGAGGGAGGCCGGGTTCCTCTTTGTTATCTGTGAACAGCAAAGGGTAGCCCTGAGCCTTGCGATGTCACTGAGGCCATGCCCAGATCGGACTGGCATTTGGCTAGGGTGGGAAGCAACCCAGCCTGGAGGATTCAGAAGGACTGAGGAACAGTCCAAAGGGTACTGTCATTCTCTAGGCAGAAGGGGTATTGGGCTTTAGGTTATGGAGCTGGGCTGGTCAGTTCTTAAAGAGTGCAGAGTTTACTTCCAGGCCAGGGGAGGGCAGCGGTTCAGGCACCATAGGAAGCCCCGCACTTGGTCTGGGCTCTCCTCAGAGACACACCTCACGCCTCCTGGTCTCTCTGCTGCCACCCTACTTCCTGCAGCTACTAGCACTTGGGGAAAGCCCCCGTCCACGGCCCCCATGCTCAGTCCCCTCGGCTCCAGTGGCCTGCCTCTAGTGCAGCCTGTGGCTGGCTGCTTGCCCTGTATCTAGGCCACCTTCTGGGAAAGCCTTCTTTACCTAGCTTCCTAAAGCAGGTCACCCCAGTGTGCTCTAGGCCATGTTTGGGTTCCTTCTTGCCACCTCCGGGTCAAGGAGGACTTTATGCTTAATGACTGCTGTCTTGCTGTCTTGGAGGCCCCAAGGTCAGGAGGTCCTCCCTGTTCTGCTCCTGCCCCAGGCAAGGACCACATAAAATGCCCCACAATGGTGACAGGAAGGACAGTAAAGTCACTATCCCAGACATTTAAACGGAGCAACTTTTGTTCATGGTCATTTTAAAACCACAAAGAAGAAAAAAGTTCAACCATTTAGCTGGTCAGGTACCCTGGGAGCAGGGTCAGCTGTGCCCAGGTGTCATATTCCCGACAGCTTGGAAACTTGGTGGCTTGTGGCTGCAAGGCCAGAACAGTCGTGGCTACTTGCAGGGGTGCGTGTGCACACAGGTGTGGTAGCAACAATAGCCCCTCAGCTCATTGGCCGGCACAGGTACCTGTGTGGCTGGTGCCTCTTGTTTCTTGTCTTCTGATGCCCGACTGCATTCCTCGCTGCTGCTGGCCCTGAGGCCTGTCCTTGGGTGGCCAGTGGCCAGCACGTTGGTTCTGATGGCTGAAATGGGGCAGGATAGGAGCAAGTAAGTAAAGAGGAGTTCCGTGGTCCCCCGTCAGCAGCAACACCACAATTTGCAAGCCAGCCCTTGCTAGGGCCCTGGTGCTGCATAACCCCCCGACAAGGCTGCCCGGTGGGGCTGTCACTGTGTCCCTCACAAGGCGCAGGAAGCCCAGAGAGTTGCAGTGGCGTTGACTCTAGGGTTCCTTCTCATCCTCTCCTCTCCCTGCAGAACAGCTGCTACTCCTGAGAGGTCAGGTGCTGGGCCATGGCCTGTCCTTGCAGTTCACACTCTTGTACAACTGCCTTGGCACTTGCAGGGGTGCGGCTGCCCGCGGCCCATGCAGTGTGTTCCAGCAGCCCCAAACAAGGCCCCAGCTCGCTCTGCCGTAGTACTGGCTGGCTAACTGGCCCTGCTTGGCAGATGGGAGGAACCATGGCTATGAGCATGTGATGGCAAAGACACCATGGTGTCATAAGATGGCCCCTCAGAACTGCTGAGCTGGCTTTCCTCAAACGATGAACGAACATGTGCGTCTCGGGTTTTTGCAAAGTCAGCAGCTGGGAACTATGACCAGTGACTGGGCTGCAGGATTGCAGGGGTTACGCTCTTCTTCCGGGGCAATCTGTATTTAATGATCTAACCAGTGACTAGATACTACTTCCTCACTAGAGTGCAACAATGGGGATGGTGCCTGTTTTCTTGCTATCACTGCAAGAATTGCACTCTCCAAAGCCAATCCCCAGAAGCGGCTCTGTCTCCCAATAACAGAACCCCTCCCCGCAATGTCTCTGTGCAGGGGTTATCTAAGAAATGGGAGGCTCACTACCATCCGGACAACCCACTCTATATTCAGCTGGTACACAGCCCTTCCTGACACTCCACAGGAGACAAGGACCGGTCCCCGCAGTCTCTGGCCACTGCTCTGGATGCTACCCCAGGGACTGGCACAGGCAAGTCTTGACAACTATTCTTCCAGGGCTGCAGGTGGGATGCCTGGCAGCTGGAGATGCAGCCCCAAGCCCTGTGGAAAAACACTTGGCTGTGCATCTTGGCCACGGTACTGTCTCACTGTCTTTCTGTGCGGGGTGATGCTGGTGAGAGCCAGCGCCCCACGGGGCTGTGCTCACCAGGAGCCAAGGACTGCGTTGCAGGAATCACGTCGTCATCCTCGCTCTCCGAGGAGCTCCTGGCTGTGCTTTCCGAGACCCGGGTCTTCCTCTGGGCGGCTGCAGTCTGGGCCTGTGCCGGGGTAGCAGCCGGGCCAGCTGGACTGCGATTAGGGTCGACAAAAATCAGAGGGGGTTTAATCACCTTGAAAAACAAAAACAAAACACCCCCCAGTGATTAAAGGCTTGGTCAGGGGAAGGGATGAGAGTGCAGGGGAGGGTTCCACAGGGCAGAGTCCAAGGAGCTCGGGGGTGGCCAGCTGGGCCACTGGGCGTGTACTTCCAGCTCAGCCCCTCCCAGCTCACACAGACCCCAAGGGCCAGGGTAGTACAGGTAGGAAAGTCACAAGTCTAGAGCAGCAAGGCCAGCAGTTCAAGGCCACAGAGCAAGGGAACTGCATAGAATGACCAACTCAGCCTTCTTGACTCTGGCTGTCTTTTCCAGAATTTTCCACAGCTGCTAGGTTGTGATACACGATCCTTACCACCTCCGCCCCCGGTCTGGGGGAGGCCTTCACAGTCCAGCTGCCCCACCCTGGAAACACTAATGCAGCCCAGGATGTGGCTGCCCAGGGACGCCCACCTCATTTCTCAACAAATAAACCATTTGTGGAAATGGGCCGGTGAGTGGGGCAGAACCAACTGCAGATTGATGAAGGCATTAACAGCCCCCCACAACCGGTGGCTTCTATTCAGACCCTTATTGAGCACAGTCAGACAGATGGGGGTGTTGTCTGGATAAGTCCTTTGTAGGGCTGCCCATGTACTGTGTGCTTAAATCCCAGTGGATGATATGCCACGTGTGAAACTGGCAGGGAAGTGAGTGGGGGGATTGCACAAGCCGGGCCTGCTCAGGAGCCAGTAACTGCCAAGGCTGGGGAAGGCCTGTGGGGGTTCTTTATAGAATTTCTCATCTTTGGGTATGCTTCCAATTCCCCAATAAAAAACGCTAAATGAAAGCACACTCCAGCAGGCAGCAGTGGCTGCCTGGGCTCTGGAGGCGAGCAGGGCTAGGCACCATGGCTCTCCTGACATGCAGTGCTGCATACAACAGTACTCCGAGCCCGGGGAAAACCCCAGCTAATGAGAGCACGGGAATAGAATGACCCCTCTCCACTCCACACATGGCAGGAGGAGGAGGGAACTGCCTGAGGTTGAGGGGTGTGCAGAGTCAGGCCTGGGACCTGGCTGCTGCTCCACCATCAGCTCAGTTCTCAGGCCTGACTCAGCAGCCTGGGTTGCTGCAGACAGGGAAGGTCAGAAGGAGAGCAGGAAGGGGCCCGCCTGAGGGGGGAAGTTCTGCCTGGCTCAGGCCCTCCCTACCCCTGCCAAACAGCCGCCCCCGTGGCTGCTCTGATCTGCCACTTCCACAGCCTCCCTTCCCACGTGATGAGAAGGAGAAGGATGGAAAGTGGGAGAAGGCTTACAGTTGAGGGAGGGGAGCTATATATATGTGAGAAGACAGAGGAACAGATTGTCGGGGACCAAGAGAGGCAACGAACCCACTGAGGCAAACAATAGCATCTTGGGATATTAAAAGTGGCTCAGCAGCAAACGCCGCCTCCTGGTTCCACCTGCCCACGCCAGCCCACCCCGGCCCCTGGGCTGTGGGAAGGAGGTGGAGCAGGGGGCCTGGCTGTGGTGGAAGGGGGAGTCAGGGAGTTTGAGGGGGACGACAGCCTGGTGCTGTGTGTGGCAGGAATGCAAAGACCAACCTGAAGAGTTCAGTGAGGTGGGCAGTGCCACAGTGGGGCCTAATCTCCCCTGCACCGTGGCGGCCTGGTTCCCTGCCTGCTGCACTCTGCACCTTGCAGAGTACCAAACATGAAGGCATGTTCTGGGGTCACAGAGAGCAGCAGGTGCATGAGGGGTGGAGCAGTGAAAGCATCATGGCCTGAACGCTTGGCTGTGCCTCCCTGCCAGGGTGGGGCAGTAAGGAGATGGGAGGAATTCATGGGCTCCCTTGCTGACCAGGGGTCTGAGGCTGTAGAAGCAAACCTGCCACCTGTCAGAGCCGAGCTTAGGGCCCTTGTGCTGGCAAGTGTGACATAGTGGAGCAGAGCTGTGGCCTGGGCTGCTAAGCTTGACAAGGGATCAGTCACAAAGGCACCATGCCTGCAAGAGCCTCCCTCAGAACTGCATGGGACCTGTTAACAGACCCCAGATGGCCCTCCCCAGGGGCTGAGGAAGCCCACTCACTGGGGGTACACCCCAGGGCTGAGAAGCAAGGGATGTGGCCCTGCTCGGGGGAATCAGCGCACTGATACCAAAGCCAGGACTGGAAGGCAGTTCTAATCACAGGCAACCTCAACGAAACCCCTCCGCTTCTCACAGACCTCCTTCTCTCAGGCTCAGCCAGAAACTTCCAGAGTGGGATCTCTGTCTTTTACTGTTTTGGTAAAGTAATGGAAGAAGTGGCAGTTAAAAGAAATTAATTTGAATTGCTAAGTGAAAGTGGCGTGTATTATGGGATGAAGTATGATGCGATCTGTGTATATTCCACAGAGTGGCTAAACTACGTGCTGCCTCGCATGGTCCCCATCTCCACATGACTGTCACCCACTGCAGGCTCAGCACAGACCCTGGCCTGAGGGTCACTGTGCGGTGGCCCAAAGGAACAGCACAGGGCCTGCAGACACAGCCACACTCCCATTCCGCTTGCAAACCCAGGGCCCTGCCCAACAGCCCTGCATTCTCTCCTTTCCCCCGCAGATGGGCTATTAATAACAATAGTGCAACTTGTCCATAGAAAAGTGCTCAATAAAATGCATCATAATTATAATAATCATAATTAGCGGGCTGGGGATTAAGGCGCTGCAATCTCCCAGCTTCCCCAGGCTACGCTGTCTTCCCTGAATCCCCCAGGGGAAGGCACAAACTGCTTCTTTCCTTCTGCCTTTTTTTTTTTTAATAGGGACTGTAGAATCTTCAGGACTAACATACCAATTAAATGGTTCAGTTTAAAAGCATGATGTTCATTTTAATTGTGTTAGTCTGCCCCCACAGAGAAACTCAAAGGGGCCCCCTCCCTGCCAGCTGTTCAGATGCCTCGCAGAAGGAGGCCGTTTCACAAAGGCTCCAGGAGAGCTTCGGGGCCAGGCCCGAGCTGGCAACAGGGAAGTGTCACGTATTGCCAGGGAATCCCGGCCGGCCTGGGTTCAAATACCATGTCTGCCTTCCGGGCCTCAGCCACATGGCACTGGGGCACCTCATTCTACTCCTCCAAGCCACAGAGCCTCCTCCCTAAAATAAAAAATAACTCAAGGACCTATTATATTCTCTCATGGCTGCTGTGCAAACACAACAGGATGATCAAATTCGGGGCTTAGCACAAAGGTGGCCAAATGCATTATCTGTGTGTAGTTGTCCATCTTAGATTTTGTAATGGAACTGTTATGGAGAGAAAGGCAACAGGCCCATCACTAGATTTGATTGATGGCCTGAGAAGCACATGGAATTGAAATAGAAGGGGAGATAGTTAAGGAGACCCCACTGGTCTGGGGGCTGCAGGATCCAGTACCTCTAGCTAGGTCCTTGGAAGGGGCCTGGTCGATGCCTCCAGAAAGGCTAGTGTATACATAGAAGCATGGAGCACCTGGCATGACTGATGCAGGCCTCTGAAGTTAGGGGGAGATGGTGGGCCTGACCCCACCCTTGTGTGTGGGTGCAGCAGAGCACCTGATGTGTCAGGTGCGAGGTGCCCATCTCTGTGAGGCTCTCGGGACTCTGAGAGCCCTGCGAGTAATGCTTGGGGATTTCCTTGCACAGGCAGCCAGGGACCATCACTTGCACCTTGCTTAGCCTATTGGGTATCATGAGCATTTGGGGAAATTCCTTCGACTCTCATGGCCCTGATACCCAACGAGGCCACATGGCCAGGCCTGCTGATGGACGGGGGACAGAGCCATGGCTTTAGGTTCTTCTAACAGCACACAGATTGAGGAGAGGCCCATCACTGCCTCTACTTTATAGCCAACGCAGCTGAGCCACAGGGTGGACGAGGCAATGCCCAGCTAGGAGCTAGTGGCAGGTGGCACCAATGCTCTCTCAGCCCCGAAGCCTGGCGGCTTGACTGCTCTGCTGCCTGCCTCATGTGGTCCCGGAAGGTGTCACAGGGGTAGGAACTTCAGTGAGTGCCATGCGCTGCTCTAATGTGGGGAGCTCTGCCACTCCTGCCTCAGCCCCAGCCGGCAGGGAAGGAGGCATGGCCTACCTGGCTTGATGGCAACTCCTCGTCACTGCTCTCGGAGGACTCTGCTGCCTTCTTCTCTGGAGGGGCTGGGGTAAGGATCTTGCCTCTAGATATTTTGGCGTTACTGTCCTTGCGAGACGTTAAGACCTGAGTAAGCACAAAATGTGTGTGTGGGGGAGAGACATTAGCTAAGCAGGAAAGGTGGTTAGCAAGCCATGCCCACATGCACCTGCCTCTCTGGGGAGGGCATGGTGGCCCCTTCCTGGCTTGGAGTGCCCTACAAACTGGAAATGCACGCTTCTGCCTGGCTTAACCTCCTTCCACGGCTGCCCACTGAACATCACAGGGAGACAGAACACAGAAACGGCTGAACACAGAGCTGTGAGCTGCCAGCCCAGGGGCTCATGAAAGGAGTCCGGGACGAAGCTGCCGGTGTGAGCGGAGGTCCCCACACACCTCCTGTCTTGACTGTAACATCCTTCTCGCTTCCTGCTAAGAAGCACTCTGCTGGCTACAGTTCAATGGGCCGTCCCTGTGGGAACTACGGTCACTTCAGCTCAGTGGAGGACAGGAAGCAGCCTAGCATCTTACCACCTGGTAAGTGAGTGGTGAGTGGAAGCTGTTGGAGCTTGCACTTTGCTAAGAGAAGTGAAATCAGGACTTGCACGCATCACTTTTGACTCTCCCACTGAGACTGCTGCCATGCAAGAAGGCCACCTCCTGCCAGCCCTGGCCTCTGGCTCCCTGCCTCAAATTCCGACAGCTCCTCCCACCAGCCAGACAAGGGCACTTGCAGGCTGCTCATCATGGACTGTGAGAGGGTGGTTCAGCCAGTTTGAGCCCTGGACAGGATGTGGAGGGAGAGCCTCCGGGCTGACTTGGTAGCCTGTAGTATACATAAGGCCAGAGAAGCACTGAGGCAGGAGCACCTGTGCACCTGTGCCGCCAAGCTGAAGAACGAGCCAGTGATGGCAGCCAGATCCTGGAACCTCCCGCATGCTGACAGTCAAGTCCCTACTGCCTTAATTCTTCACAACTGGACTTTCTCCTAGAGCTTAGTTCATCCTGACAAAGAAACACACTGATAACTTAAAACAAAACTCCAAATAGTCCAGCCACCAGCCCCTCTCAGTATCACTAGGAACAGGCATCTAAAGGGCTGCTGGCACTGCTGGCCACCTGCTCTGACCTGGGTGCACAGCCCCCACCTGTGCCTGGGGATGATCAGCATGCCACTGAGCTCCACCTTGTCTGAGCTCCAGGGATCTGTTCTCCCAGCTCTGCTACACAGTACAGAATCCTGTGGTAACACAGACCCACCCTGAAGACTGTAAGCTCCTTGAGGGAAGCTCAAGTTCTTCCTCCCCATGGGACAGGTGTGGATATCAAGGGCACAGGTTCCAACTGCTCATTTTACTCATGAAGATGCCTGAGAGTAAGAGATGGAACTTGGGGCCCAGTTTGTGTCCTAAATGCTCTACTTCCCATCCAGTTTCCTGCTTGTGGCCTGGAAAAGCAGTGGAGGACAGCCGCATGGCAGATCTGGAAGAGGCTCCTGGCTTCAGATTTGCCCAGGTCTGGCCATTGCATCCACTTGGAAGATGGAAGATCTTTCTCTGTAAATTTGACTTTCCAATTTAAAAAAATATATAGATATAACTACATATCTATATCTATATAGATAATAGATAAAAAGAGACAGAGCTTGGCCTGGGCCATTCCTGTTCATGCCACTAGGCCACCACTGACTTAAGTGGACAGAGAATGTCCCTTTAGATGAGGTTTCTTGCTGCCACCACTCCCTACTGTCCCTGCTGACACCTCACTCACTGTCAGCTGCCACCTGTGACTCACCATGCCCAAGTTCCTCAGTTTGATGCAAGCCCAAGCCCTGGAAGCACAGGAGTTGGCTGCCCTGAGCTTCTGCAGTACTTTGGCCCCCAATATGCAGACACAGCAGAGCTGTGCAGGCAACAGATGCCACCTCACGCCTTCCCTTCCCACTGCCCAGGGCCTAAGCTTCACGCTAAGCTCTCCCAAGCAGAGCCACGTTACCTTCTTCCTGGGGCCTCACAACCCCCGCACCACGGCCTGGACCCCCTGGTGACCCCCGCGCCACGGCCTGGACCCCCTGGTGACCCCCGCGCCATGGCCTGGAACCCCCTGTATCACATCTCGGACCCCTCATGACCCCTGCACCATGACCCAAGCCCCTGACTTCATGTACCTCAGTAGGACTTGTTTGCTTTGCCTTCCACGGGGCTGGTGTGTCTGCTTGAGCTGTGGGGGCCTTGGCAGACACCGGGGTGCCCAAGACCCCTTTCACTGGTGAGGCCTTGAGTTGGGGGTGTTGTGTAGCAGATTTTGCCTGGGGAGACATGGAGTACAGGAGTCCATGGAGAGGAGGGGTACTAGATTTGCAGCCTTCACCTCTGCCTTCCCCATGGGGGCCCTTAAACCACATCCTGACAGCAGTGGCGGGTGAGGTCTTGGAGGCTCATCAGGTCTTACCTGGGCTGCGGACACGGCCATGGGTGTCTCCCCATCGCTGTCTGAGTCTTCGCTGCTGCTCTCCGAATCCTCCTCCTTCTTCCCCAGCTGGGTCTGAGCAGGCACAGGGCCTGCCTTGCCACAGGGTGCCAGAGGGGTCCCTTTCCTGGGGGACTCCTTGGCAGGGGCCAAGGGAGCTTTGAGTTTGGGCGTCTTTCCCAAAGGTTTCACCTGGAAGGTGAGAAAGCTAATGAGAGGAGTCCAGGGGGTGTGCATGTGTGTGGCGACAGGAGATCAAGGGGACAGTGCAGTTGGGTGCGAGACGCAGCTGGACCCACAGGGTCCCCCTACAGAGAGGGGAGCACCAGGCTCCTCCCTGCCTTGGTGCTGGGCCTCACCTGAGCTGGAGCCTCCTCCTCCTCACTGTCTGAGGATTCCTCACTGCTCTCCGAATCCTCCTGTGGCCTCCCCATGGGCACCTTGTTGGCCTGGGCCACTGTGGTTGCCACCTTACCCACAGCACTGTTCTGGGCAGTCTTCATGGGAAGCTTCCCCTGAATTGCAAGGAAACATGACATTGGAGTAGGAAGTGGCTGCCACAGCTCCCTTTAGGCTAAGCTCCTGGCCATGCACAGCAGGGCCCTGCTTCTGGCTAGCCCCTGGCCCCACTTGCCTTGGCTGGGGATCCCTGCTTGGCTTGGGCAGCGGAGGTGATGACTTTTCTAGGGGTTGACATGACGCCTTGGGCTGCAGATGCTCTTGCAGAAGCTGTGCTGGCTCTGGCCTGAGGGGTTTTTGCAGAGGCCTTCACCTGGAGGAAGACAAGAGAACCTCAAGTGGTGGCGAGAAAGGAGTTGGGGTGAGAACGGTGGGCCAAGACTGCCAACGCTGGAGTCAGAGGCCTAAGCTTCGATCCTGGCTCCTCCAGCTAACAGTTCCAGGAACTTGAGTCGAGTGACCTCACAGGGCCTCCACCTCAGCGGGACAAGGACAATAAGCCCCATCTCTGGGGCTATCAGGGGGATTGAACAGGGCCCTCTGTGCCTGGTACACAGTACACAGGCAAATAAGCTTGTGCCTGTAAGCACCCTTTGCAGTGTGGGCCATGCACAGGAGCACCTAGACTGCAGTGTTTTCCTTTCAGCTCAGGAGGTGAGGGGCTGGAGAGGGGGAAGGATTGTCCTCTGGACAGCATGGAAGCAAGGAAGCCTGGTTCTTCTGCCCTGGTTGGCTGGAATGCAAGGCTAACAGCTGGAATTCAAGCAGTCAACCTAGTCCATGAGGCTGAGCCGACAGAACCTGACAGGAAAGCAGTACTCCTCTGACCTTTTCTTGGGCTTTCCCTACATTAACTGATAGAGCCCCCGCAAAGCCGGCCAGGCTCTCCAGCAAACACAGAACTAGTGGGCCGAGAGCCACCAAGGAGGAAATGGCCCAGCACAAGGTCCTGACAGGAGAGTGGGGAACAGGCCAGCTCCCCAAGGCCCTGCCTCATTCAGACACAGCCCTCCTCCTGGCACCCTGTGCCCACCAAAGACCGAGGAAAAGGAAGAGCAAGCGGGAGCGCAGAGAAGGCTCTCCAAAGTGCAGACATGCCAAGCAGGCAGCCCCACATGCAAGGCCCCTGGAGGGGAGTGATGTGTTTCACAAGGACGTGAGGGCAAGACAGAAGAAAGACTCATACAGCCCGCCACATCTCTGCTCACACAAAGACCAAAATCACACAAAACAGGTTTCCCAGCCACAACACAATTAAACCAGAAGTCAACAACAGAAAGCAAGTTGGGTAATCCCAGGTATCTAGAAATGAAACAACCTGCTTCTAAATAACCTTGGTTCAAAGCATAAAAATAAAACACCCATCTCATAGTGCAGGTGGGAGGCTCAGATGGAAAGACAAATATTTAAGAGCTCTGTGCAGCGAGATTGGGCGGGGTGCAGGGTGTGGGACTCACTCTTGCAGTCTGCAGGCTGTCAGGGGAGCCCCACATGGCAGGGACTTCACTGAGCAAGACCTCAGAGAATGTCCTACATTATGTTGGGGGTGTGGAGGATGGAAAAACCCACTGAAAAGTGTGCTCCCACCCCAGGGGGAAGGAAGAAAGAAATGACTTTAATTTTGGAGTTATCACTGGAAATAATAAAAAAACAACAATTAAACAATAAACGGTGGGGTGGTAAGCAGGGAGAACAAGCCGTCTTCCATTTGCCCTGGCTCTTCCACAGTGTGAGAACTGAGTCCCGATCCTGCTCTCCGTCAAAAAGGCCTGATTGGGTGATGAGGGCGGAGCTTGTCGGCAGGTGAGAACCCACTCACACCCTGGAGGACTGATCTTTAGAGAGGAACCAGCGCCTCCAGAGGGCTACATCACCTGCTAGGAGGTGGAGCTGGGGTTTGAACTCAGCCAGTTTATCTCCCTGACATTTGCTTCTGCCATGCTGCAGCACGATCTCACCTGAACCTGCTACTGTTAAGTCACCCAGACCAAACACACACTCTCCCAGCACCGGGCCTTTGCACAGGCTTTCTTTGCCTAGAACACCACTCTCTTGGGTGCTACCACCCAACAGGTCCACTAGTGGAGGAGCACCCCCGACCCCTCGCAGGAATAACCTGTGTGCACATCCATGGCTCCACGTGGATGGAACCTCCCCGAGGGCCATGACTAGAGCAGCCCAGACTGACAGCACCCGCAGAGAGGGCACTTGGACTGTGTAGGAGACACAGGAAATCTCAAGGAGGGTTTAAAAGTCCATGAAGGGAGACAGGAGAGCTCTGACGGGCAGAAGAGCTAACAGGAGAAGTGGGCATGTCCAGGGACAACGGCAGCCCCAGACAGGGCCCATCCTCAGCCCAGGCCTAGGCCTCACCTGCGCGGGAGTGGAGGCGGCCCCCTCACTGTCCGATCCCTCTTCACTGCTCTCTTTGTGCGTCTTGGCCTTGAGCTGGGCACTGGCAGGCCCTGTCTTTCCGGGGAGCAGGGGCGTGGTTCCTTGTCCCGAAGGTCCCGTGGTGGTCGCCGGGTTAGCTCTTGCCTGGGGGCATTTGCCCACAGACTTTGCCTGGAAGGACAAGTGGATGCGTGCATCTCAGGTGCCCAGAGGAGCTCAGAGCCGCCCCAGGGCCGGCCAAGCCCACGCAGGCCTCACTGTTGCAGCAGGAGCTGTCTCCTCTTCACTCTCTGACTCCTCACTGCTAGAAGAGATCTCCATGGGCCGCTGGGCGCCCTGGGCCACCGCAGGGGATGAAGAGCAGGCAGAAGTCGCTGTCATATCCTTCCAGGGGAATGGGGTGCTCACTTGTAGGGCGGCAGCCTTGGTAGACGTAGGGGTCACAGGAGCGGGGGTACCTTTCTCTGGGGAGGTCTTGGGATGAGTTTTCTGAGCTGGTTTTGCCTACGGGGACATGGAGGGCAGAAGCTGGAGCCCCACTGTTGCCCGCACCAGCCGGAGCCCAGGTTCCTCCCGAGAAGTGGCCAGCTCACCATGGGGCTGGCTGACGGGGGCAGTCCTAGGTCTGCTGAGCCTCACCTGAGTAGGAGGTGGGGCTGTGGGTGCCTCCTCCTCGCTATCAGACGACTCCTCGCTGCTTTCTGAGTCTTCCTCGGCCCTTGCAGCCTTGACCTGAGGAGTTCCAGGCCCAGGCTTCTGGGAGGGCACCAGGGCTGCCACTTTCCCTAAGGGCCCCTGGGTGGGAGCCGAGGATGGGACTTGAAGGCCTTTGCCTGGGGGCTTTACCTGGTGGGAGACACATGGATCAGGAGAAGGGGATCAGGAGAAGGGTCTATGGGGACAGACACACACATGAAAACATACTCAAACACGATGACCTGAACGGTGAACAGAAGGACCCAGCGGGCTCCTAGCACTGACAGACAGCAGGGTTTTGGGGAACGGGCCCTTACCTGGGCCGCGGACACAGCTGGAGCCACCTCCCCATCACTGTCAGACTCTTCCTCGCTGCTGCTGCTGCTGCTGCTGCTGCTGCTACTGCTGCTGCTGTCTGAGTCCTCCTTTGGCTTAGCCACCTGGGTCAACGGGGCTACAGGCCTTGCCTTCCCAGGGGGCACCAGCCCAGTGCCTTTCCCCGAGGGCCCCACGCCCACAGCAGGTGCAGGTCTGACTTGAGAGTTCTTCCCTAAAGGCTTCGGCTGGGAGGGCCAAAAGACAAAATGAAGGTGGGAGTCCAGAGAGGGGAGGGACAAGCCCATAGGAGCTCTTCTGGGGGGTCTGACAGCTCACCTGAGCTGGGTTCACGGTCAGGGTCACGGCTGCAGGCGTCTCCTCCTCACTATCTGACTCCTCGCTGCTGCTCTCTGAGACCTCCTTCCGCTTCCCCACTTGGGCCTGGGCGGCTGCAGGGCTTATCTTGCCAGGGGCCACCGGAGGGGTCCCTTTCTTGGGGGATCCCTTGGCAGGGGCTAAGGCAGCTCTGGCCTGGGGAGTCTTCCCCAAGGGCTTCACCTAGAATGAGGGGAGGGTGAATGGGCATGTGCAGATACAGGGTCTAGCAACAGTGGCAGGACAGAGGAGGCACCTGAGGTCTGGCACAGCGTGCAGAGCAGCCCCCTGAAGGCCAGCAGGGGCGGTGCCAGGCTGCAAGGGGTCCCCCAACAAGCCTCACCTGGAGTGGGGTCCCGGCAGCTGGGGTCTCCTCGCTGTCAGATGATGTCTCGCTGCTGTCGGAGTCCTCCTCTGGCTTCCTTGACTTCCCAGGGGCTGCTGGGGTAGCCACTTTCCCGAGTGTCCCCTTGGCAGAGGCTGAGGCCGATCCGGCCTGGAGAACTTTCCCAGAGTCCATGACCTAGGAAGAACAGTCTGATCTCAGCCTCTAACAACCCTCTGCTATGCTTTCAGGATATGGCCTGGAAGCCTCACGGCGATCATCCAATCCTGGCCTTCTTCAAGCACCCCAACCTCAGACCCAGGCCCACACCTGGCTGGGGTCCCCAAAGCTTCGTCCAGCTTCACTTCATGCATTTTTAGGGCATTGCCAGCTCTGCTCCTTCCAGCTACTCCTGGGTCTCCAGGAGACACCCCAGCAACAGGCAACTCTTCCCACCCTGCCCCGGACTGCCTGCTTGGCTGCCCAGCATACGAGGAAGTCATAGCTGGGGGCCTGGTGAGTCTGGGAAAGCCTGACTTTGGCAAGAAGAAAAGTGTCTGGGGGGTGCTCAGTGAGGCCCCCACAACCACTTGGCCTGGGGCCAGTCACCCTGCAACATCAGCGGCTCTGATCTTTGAAGAACCTTTCCCTGAAGGAGGTGCAGGTCACTCCAGACAAGCTCTGTGTGACTTGTTCCTTTTCAAATGTCTGCATGAACATGTATTCAGAAGGTTCTAGAAAAGTCCCCATACTAAAAAATGGATGCCCACACAAAAAATAAAAATAAACAAACAAAAACAAAGAAAAATGGATACCCATACAACACCTGGTAGCTTGTGGGAGCAGCAGAGCAGACTCCTGGACGCGTCCTCTTCTCCCAAGACAGCCCTGACCGCTATATTTCAAATCGCCATTCTTCACTGCCCCCATACCCTGCCTTCTCTAACTTTCACTGGCATCTAGCAAAGGCAATCTTATTTATCTACTGCTCCACCCTTCTTGCACCACACTCTGACTCCAACAGTTCTGCAGCCCCTCAGGCTTGCCCTTGGGAGGCCCCCACAGCCTCAGGGGCTGAGATCCCTAGCAAGGGAAGGTAGTTGGACTCCCTTTAGGGGCATGGTGTGAGTGGTAGGTGCCTGCTCAGTGCTGGCCTAAGAAGCCAGAGGTCACAGAACCAGCAAGGATGAGGGTGGCAGGGATGATGGAGTGGACAGCCCATCCAGGCCTGTGCGTGGACCACAGAGTATTTTCCAGAGGCCAGAGTCCCTGCTCTGCCACCTGCATATGGCTCTTCTCTCCCTCCTCTAAGGGGGCTCTTCCCCAGCAGAGGTGCTAACCACACAGCTACTCCTTCAGCTATGGTGGGCCCCGGGCAGCTGGGGTGTTGGGCACCTGTGGGACTTCTCACCTGGCCGGGCCTCCCTGTCGGGGGCTCCTCCTCACTATCAGATTCCTCAGTGTTCTCTGAGTCTTTTTGTGTTTTCTGGGTCCCCGCTGCAGGGGTCAGGGCACCTCTTCGGGCCTGGGTTGGCCTGGCCCCCACCTTCCCGGGAGCTGGAGTCGTCTTCTTCACTGTGGACTCCTGGGCAGGGGCTGGCAGTGGGGCTTTGACTTGGGTGGGTTTCACCTGGAACGAGAGGCTCTAAGTAGGTGGTCTGCTTCCCCTTAGCTGGCACTCACAAGTGGCCCAGAACACCCAGAGCAAGCTCATTCTCACCAGCATCTTTTCCCTTTAGGAATGCCCTCTCCCCAGCCCAGGGAAGGCCACTGGGCTCCTCTACCCCGATTCCCACCCGCCCCCTCCATGGCAACTGGCCAGCCCCAAGGCAGCTGGGCCAAGGCCAAGAGATCTAAGTGCCCTGGCCTCTGAAGTCTGGCCAGGCTCCTGGGAGGGTGGGAGGCCTGGAGGGGCAGCTCTCCTGAGGCCAGGTCCCTTTACCTCCATATCAGTCTCATCACTGGAGCTGGAGGTGTCCTCGCTGGAGCTGTCGGCCTGGCCCGCTGACACCAAGCCTGAGAGATGGACACAGTGGGGACTAAGGGACCCTTTCCAGACCCACCCACACCTTCTCCCACGCTGAGTGTTGAGCAATGGCACCTCCTCTGCACCAAGTTACAAATCTGCCTGCCCTCAAAGCCCCCATCTGAAGGTACATGGTCTTCACTCCTATATTCCCACACACCTGCAGCTGGGGGGTGATGGGGAGCCTGGAGTAGGTCCCAACTGTGCACTCACACCCGCGTTTATAAACTCTCCGAGTTACCGTCACAGGCACTGAAGCAGTCATGGCACGTGCCTGTTTCACATGGAAAAGGAGGCAAACCCAGGCCCTTCAGAAACATCTGAGCTGCCAGGGAGCCCTGTAACTCCCCAGAAATGCCAACTCACTATGCAGGCCACACTGACTCGCTGGAGCTGCCCTCCCTTACCTAGATGCAGGCCCGTTACTGTCTATGGTCAGACCTCTGGGCTCCAGAATGACCCAGAACTTGACAAAGCAGAGTCAGCACCTGCCTCGTCAGCCGAGGGGTGGGGCTGCTCACCAGGCATGGCAGCAGGTGCAGGGGCTGGGCCACCACCTTCCTCTTCAGTTTCTGAGGCCAAGACAATGTTCGTTGAGGGTTCTGCTGACTTCTGGGCTGACTTCCCAGTCAGCAGGTGGGTTAGGGCCTTCTTGGATGAGGAATGTGGCACAGAATTCACTACCTTGCCGGCCCTGGTCTGTGCCTGCACCTGCAGGGAAGTCAGGGGGAACACTGGGTTAGAACAGCAAACACAGGATACAGAGTGCAACATCCCATTGTGACAACTGGGGGGTCACCCCCCAAGGCTCATCTTTTGGGGTTGGGGGTACTCATACAGGCCCTCCCCTAATAAGACTGAATTACAGTTTTTGGGACAAAATAAGTAGGGGTAGGTGACAGTCTGGTGTGGCTTTCCACTTTTTGTAATTCCTTTTACACACAGTAAATGCTGTAGGCCCTTGCAGGGACACAGCCTGAAGCTCTGCTTCTAGCTTCTGGATTAGAACATGCAATTAAGAATTTCAGAATCTCAGGTACTTGGTTTACTCCAGCGTCTCTACTGCCTGGCAGTGGCAGGAACAACAGAGATCAGCGCAATTCTGAGTGCACTGGGCAGGTGGATGCACTAGGGAAACCGCCCAAGCCTGTGCCCACCATGCCTATTGTCCACAGCAGCAGACATTACTTCCACCTCTCCTGAAGAAGAACCTATGCCATAGCTAGGTTATAGCACGAATCCAGGTGGCAATTACGCACAACCTTATCCTTCACACATTGGGGACTATTCCCTTATCGCATACTGCAACTCCCACAGGCAATGGCTGGGGAGGGGGCGCCACTCACCTTGGCCTTTTCTTTCACGCTTGCTGGCAAATCCACCCCTGTGACTGAGGAGTTGACAGCCGTCGGCCTTGGGGCTGCGAGACACAACCAGTGGGATGAATCAGGTGAGCTTTCTTGCCTGAGGGTGGCAAACAGCTTTCCTCTCACCTAACCGTTCACCTGCTACTGGCTGCCTGGAGATGGCATCAGGACCTGGTGCTGAGCCCAGATCCACGGGAAGAGCTTTGGGTGCCTACTAAGGTCTACCAGGAGCACGAGAGAAGGGAACGGCACCACAGAGGCTGTGTGTCCATGTTCTGATGGACGCCCAGCTCCCCCGGGGGTATGAGACACACAGGACTGGCTCCCCCCATTACCACAGAGCAGACAGCTCCGAGGAGCGCCAGGCAACCTGAGCCCAGCTGGAGGTGTGATGTTGGTGCTTTTACATCTTAGGGGAAGACTGCAGTCTTGTTAGAAGGTACTTGAGATGGAGACGAATGGTCCAATCTGACCTGTACCTGCACTTAGCGCCATCTCCCTTTCTGTAATTATGGGGCACTTCACACATCTTCACAGGGAGACATCATGTGGACTGGGCCACCCCGCTCCAGTCATTACCAACTCCTGGCCAATCTCACTTCATCTGCAGCTCCCCACCGGGGATTATTTTGAAGAAAATGCCAGACTTCTTAGCATGCTGTCCGCAAACACTTCAGGATGTCTTCCAATGAAGACTCTTCAAAAAGTGTAATTATGGTTCCATTTTCACAGCTTATAAAATTGATTAATGCGACTTGCTAGCCAAATGAAATTTTACCGTTTTGTTTTCAACAGCACACGGATCTGTATGTAAGCATGCATCATCTGTAGATGCAAAGGAAGTTTGAAAGGGGCCCCTTGGGAAGGTGAGTTAAAGAACGGAAGGAAAGAACAAGAACGGTCAGTTCCCTTCAATATGCTTTTGCGTAGTTCAAAGTCAATCTATTCAGCATTTATAATTTAAGAAGATTTAGCACAATATAAAAGATATGATCCACTATGACCTGAAACATTTTTATAAGTAGGCTCAGAAAAATAAATGGAAGAAAGATGTGTGAAATTATAGGTGGCAAGAATATGGGGCAACTTCTCCCCCTTTTTTCAAAGTGACTTCCAATGATGAATACTCTGTAATGAATCCTGCATTTCTTTTATAATCAGAAAATACATTTAAAAATCAGGAAATCACCTTCATGTAAACTAAAAACAAAGTATCATGATGTACTGGAGACATGGATGCATAAAACACAGGGCCTCAGAACACGGTTGGAGGAGAGGCCACAAGGCCTTCACTGGGTCATCCCTGCTGGCGCAGAGACCAGTCATGGAAGATCGCCACTCGTGATGCAGCACGCAGGCCGCACTGAAGAGGTAGCCAGCGGCTGCCCTCTGGGCTCTTGGCCATGACTTCTGGAAATGTAGTCTTCTTCTACCCATCAGCATCACCAGAATTCCTGGGCACCGTGGAGAAGGTGACCACAGATGCACCCAAGATGACAGTAAAAGGGCATCTGGTTTCGCTGGTGAGCCCTGGGAGACAGAACAGGGGTGGGGACACAATGTCTGGCATAGAGGAGGGGTTCAAGTGAACACTGTGACAGACTCAACCTTCCCAGAAGATGCTGGTCCTCCCAGGCTCTCCAAAGAGGAAGGCTTCCCTGGCACAACCCAATTTCCTCCAGGCTGTCCCAGATGGCTCAGGCCCCACCAGCACCAACGACGGGGGCCTGACTATAGGCCCAGGGATCCCAGCAGCCACCAGCACACAAGGCTCTTACTGGCTTTAGCGGCCAGGGCTTCCACTTCCTCATCCTCCTCTGAGCTCTCAGAGCTGCTGACAGGGTCTGACACACGCATCTTCTTGGCTTGCAGTGCTGCATCTTCTTCTGCCTTCTTCTTCCGCCCAAGCTCTGAGGTTCTGCAGGATAAAGGAGGGGAGTGGGCGATAGCCATTGCACAACAGGGCAACTCCGCGGGATCTAAGATCAGGCCCTCCCCACGTCCTGCCAGCTCCCACAGGAACATATGCGCAAAGGGCCAAACCACACTGATTTGTATTTCCACTCATTTCAGTGAACATTTTTACAATGGCTGACTGGTCTTTAAAATAATCACACTGTTGGCGGGGGAAGATGTCAGATGGTACCAGTGGCTCATGGACCCCGCAGGTTCCTCTCAAGATCACCAGGCACCCTCCTCCAGAACTCCAGAACTGCCTGTGCTGTGCCCCAGCCTGGGTGTTCCTCGCCTTACGCCTCAGCACTACCTTGGCCTCTGCAGAGAGGCCCCCCGCCCTGGGTAATCACCACCTCCCCTGGGGAACTCTTGGTACTGCTTTCATTTCCTTCCCAGCACCTTTGTAGATCTCCTGGTACTTTACTTACTTCCTGCCCGCCTCCTCCACCACACAGAAAGGCCCCAGCAGGGTGAGAGGAGGGCTGGCAGCTCACTGTTGTATGCTCAGCCCCTGGCAAACGTCTCAAAGGAATTAATTCCAAGTGATGTGCCCAGGGCCAATGTGGCTGGGGAGCCAAACAGGTACACAATGGCCAAGTCCCCTGGACCTTCAAGTTCTGCCTCTTCGATCCCATCCTCCCACCCTCCCTCAAGGAATCACTGCCCATGTCCCCCTCTTCCCACTCTCCAGCTGGCACAGCTATGCCAGTCCAGAGTGAGCTACTGGGGTCCCTTGTTCAGATTGTCAGGAATTTCCTGCTAAAAGCAGGTTTCATATGTAACATGTATCAACTTACTCTTTATTCTTCCTCCCAGCAGGCTATAAGATCTACAAAAGCAGGGATTTTTTCTTCCCTCTGGTTTGTTCCCAGAATAGTGCCTGCTACATAATATGTGCTCAACAAATACAGAGACACAGAAGAGCAGCCTCCAGCCAGCCCCCTTTGGCTCCTCCAGCAGACTCCCATGCTCACTCCTCCCCGTGCAAAGAGATAATTACTATTATTTTTGTTTTCCAGATAAAGACAGACTCCATGAGGCCAAGGCACTCACTCAAGGTCACAGAGCTGGTGGCTGGCATTGAGCTCAGTGGATGTCAGGTCCTTGGCCCACTCAGTAACCTTGCATTCATGACACAGCTCCCTGGAGGGTGTCCTACCTGCAGAGGTGTAGGGTGCCCGGTGCTGTGGGCTCACCTTAGCACCAGAGCAGGGCCGAGTGCTGAGCTCTGCAGTGGAGGCGGGGACCCCTTTTCCGTTCACTCCACTCCTCCTACCAGCAGGGATGACCGGGCGTTCCTTCCCTCTCTCCCTCACCCCACAAGCAGCCCATCTTACTTGTGGATTGCTCCCATGATCAAGTGTGTGTGTGTATTCAGAAGATGAAGCCCATTCCTATTTTGCAGAGCATCAGAGAACGCATCACCCCCCGCCCTTTTCCTCAAAGATGTGCAGACAAGGGTGGGCGTTTGGCTTAGCAACCAAGACATGGGTTGGGATGCCTGCACCCCACATCGGGTGCCTGGTTCTGAGCTGCATCTCGCTTCTCAGGGACACAGGCCTGGGAGGTAACGGTGATGACTCAAGTAGCTGGGTCCCTGTCACCCAGCTCCTGGCTGCTCCTGGCTTCCACCCAGCCCACTGCCAGCCACTCCAGACATTTGGGAAGTTAACTAGTTGGACAGCAGCCGTATTTTGTCTTTCTCTCTTTCTGCCCCTCAACTAACAAAAAAGAAAACTGCAGAGGACCCAATGCTAGAACAAATAAAGCCACCAAGTGCAGATAGCAGTCCCTCATCTTGCCGTGCAGCTGCCTCTTTTTTTTAGCCTGGCCAACTAGACAGCCCTGCAGGGCCTTGGCTTTCCTGGCTGCGCACGGCCAGGCCAGTGCCTGGAGGGAACACTGACAGCCCTTTCCTTCTCAAAGCATTCCTCTGCTCATACACCCTGGGATCGTTTCCTGCATTTCGGTCTCACAGGCTTCGCAGGCATTCCACATTCGACACTGCCCTTGAACTCCTTCCCTCCCAGGGTCCAGACTACGCACCCGCCTTCTGTCCAGGTGGACATCGACTAGAGGCTGCTTCCCCAAGCCGTCCACAGACCTTGCCTTCATCCACAGTACAGGAACCCACTGTCTACCTCTTCTCTTATCCCTGTCCCAAGTAGCTCTTGCCACGGATCAAAGTGATCTCCTCAACCCCCTGCTTCATATATCCATGGCTCCCATAGCTCTTGGGTGGACACGATTTGATACCATGGATCAGCAGAATGTACATGAGGTGGGCCCTGCCTTACCGTTCCTGCCACAGGCCTCAGCACCAGCAGCTCCCACTGCCAGGCCCAGTCGGTGTGCCTCTGGGGACCTAGCTCACGGCCCGGCTTCTTGCACTCTCAAGTTGAAGTCACTTCAAGAGGCCTCCTCTACACCCCCAAATGACCAGACTGAGGATGCTGAGGCACCAGGTACGTCTCCTTGATAACCCCCCTACTACTGTGATCTTGTATTTGTTTGCTTCCTTCTATGACTCATCATGGCTATCTCCTTGACTCATTATCAGCTGCAGGAAAGGAGGAGCCATGTCCGTCTCATTTATGATGGCAGCTACCCGATTCAAACAGGGCTGAACACTTGGCAAGGACCCAGTGAACAGTGATGGAGTGAGCAGCAGGTAGGTAAGATTCTTTGCTTCTTTAGGGGCCACAGCTCCCAGCGTCTCCTCTGATTACGTGATGATATCCACAGGGGGCTAAGAGCAGAGGTCTAGCTTAGATCACCGCCCTTGTGTAGCCCAAGCTGCTTGCTTGCGGTACCCCTCCCCAGGGCCTTCAGGGGCTGCTGACTTACTGTTGCCAGTGAGTGTAGATGTCCAGAAGGGTGACAGGTTGAGCCAGGAAGCTTTTCTGTGGAGAAGGCAAGACAGCCACCATTAGCTCCTAACCGGTGTACCTCCCAGGCAGCTCCCTCTGCCCAGGTGGTCTGGAAAAGGGCTTTTGGCTCTGGGAAGTCACGCTGTGTAGCCTTGCCAGTGCCACCCAAATAACCCAGAGCCAGGAGGAACAAACCATTCCAGGGGAAATCCTTGCCAACACATTGGCCTGCAGCACCTGAGAGGCTGGGATGTTCTAAGCTAGCTCTAACACAGTCTGACCTCATGGGCACCCAGGACCTCGGTCAAGACTCTCAAAGGTCTGACCAGTTGCTGTACTCCAAGCGGTAACTAGAGCTCACACATTCGAGGCACCCAAGTGTCCTGAGGGTAACCCTCTGATCCCCAAACACCGATGATGCCAGCCTTTTGGCTGTGGCAGGGGGAAGGCGATGGGACACAGAGCCACGGGGCAGATGTCGAGATGCCAGGGTGTCAAGTGCGAGCAGGAGTGATGGGGTGTGAGCAGAGGAGGCCGGGGACTGGGCCAAGTGGCCACGACAGCACCTGTGGAGTCAGACAGCGTAGTGTGCCTTGGGAGAGCAGCTGGCTTGACCTCTTCAAACTTCACACTGCTCTAGCACGTGGGCATGACAACAGAGCCACCTTGCAGGTCTGAAGGAGACCCCAGGGCCCGGCCCCTGAGCCAGAAACACCTTGTGTCAGTATGCCTGTGCTCCACCCCAGCCACCTCACTGTCCCTTCAATGTTGCGCCACCTTGTTCTGTGACTCTCGCTGTCCGGAACGCTCTCTTGCCTACTAACCAGGAGCTCATCCCAACATTTCCTGTAGGACTTGGCCCAAATATCATGTTCTCTGGCCACCCTACTTAGAACTGAACACTCCAACCTCCCGAGCCTGCTTAGTTTTATGGCCAGCATCTACTAGCCATAAACACACCACACTATTAATTATGGTCATCCATCAGCTACTGCTACAAGGGCAGGGGACTGGGGTCTGCATATCTGCTCAGTGCAGACCCACCGCCCGCTGGACCACCCCAGCAGGTCTTAGTCCCTCACACCTCTGCCATGGTGGACTTTCTGGAGGTTGGGGCTGCTAACAAAAGCATCCCAGGGCAGTTGCACCTCTGTGGGACACAGAAGCCCCTTCTCTTCTCCAGATCTCCTATCAACTGCCACTTTCCCAGGGTGGCAGAGCCCAGTGCCCCTGGCAAAGGCCATCCGCTGTGCCCTGGCCTTGCACACTGGGCCCTCACAGCAGTGTTACAGGCACACACTTTCCCAGCCAGATGGAGAGTTCCATCAGGGCTAGAGGTGTTGAGGGGTGCCTCTCTACTATCCTGAGTAACAGAAAGGAAGTAAGAAAAGACGGTGTCACGGCGGGGTACCTTGAGGCACTGCGACTCGGCACGAGGGTGAAGGTCTGAGCTCTGGAGGAACCACCCAGGCACTCCCTGCTCCTGTCTTCCTCCACCCCCGCCCCATCCCAAGGGGATCATCCCGATCCACCCTCGACCCCACAGCAGCCACCTCCCCCAGAGGGGATCGTGTGGAGCCACGTGGTCACACACTTGGGGAAACTTAAAAGCGCCGCTCCCCGGAAGAGGGTGGAGGTGTAAGGGGCGCGGGAATTACAAAGCCCTGTGCGTCAGGTCCCGCGCTCCGGCCCGCCCACTGGACGGATGGGGCAACAGAGGTCCAATGGGGCTGAAAGTCCCACGGGGGAGGTAGAGGCACGGGTGTCTCTCCGGGACCCCTGGCTCGCACTCCGGAGCACCGGGGGAACCGCTTCCAGGCGGCATCCACATCTCCAGGGGCAGGACGTGGCCATCGCTCTTGAGATCCTGCACGCGGCCCTCACCCACGACCCCTGAACGCCTACCTGGCCACTCTGCTCCTTCACTTCGCGCGCCGCACGCACGTATCCCGCCTGCAGCAGATGCTGGTAGATCAGCGGGAGCAGCTCCCGCCGCTTCCGGGCCTCCGCCATGCCGGCCACCCGCGGCGGACCGCTCACCTGCACGCCCCCCTCAGTCCCCGCCCGCCACTTCCCGCGTGCCCTTAGACCTCGCGCACCCCACTTCCGGCTCCCTGTCCGCCCCGGCCGCGCGGCGCGTCGGGAAATGTAGTCCCCGGCTGCGGGAGGCCCCACTTCCCCCCTCGTCCCAACTCCCCGCCCCGGGGAGGGAAAGGAGCCGAGACTCAGAGGGAACCGGCCGCCCATTTACGTGGGGGCGTGATCAGACGTAGCCCCGCCCTCAGACCGGCCTCGGGGTGGGAGAGCCCCACCCACATGTCAATCCTTTCTGCTCACTCTTGGTGAAGTGATTTGTTGTGCTCATCTATTCTTTGCTGGTGCGACTGCCTTCCCTTAGCTCTTCACTCCTAATCTGTACCTCTCCCTAGAGCTGAACTTGTAGTTACCCACGCATTTTGGAATCCATGATTTAGGTTCGTGTTGTTTCTATTGTAGTTATTCATGCTCTGGTTGTACAGATTCTGACTTGAGCTCTGTATCTTGGAGCTAGAGGAAGAGATGACTAAGACATGGCAGCTGCCCTCGAAGCGCTCAGGGTCAAGAGAGGCAGGTGGTAACCAAGCAACTGCAGCTGAAGACTCCGTGTGCCCCGCATCTGAGCTGAGCTGAGGGCTGGCACGGAACGCAGAGGGCACGGCGTGAGAAGCCACCCTGGCACAGGCCGGAGACCCTAAGCATAACTGAGCCTGTCAGGCTGCTGGGCCCAAGGCTTGGGCAGGGGTTGGCAGGAAAGAAGGGACCAAAGAGGGCGTGGGAGGACAGAGGAGACAGCCTGCAGCCCCCCCATTCTGCTCACAGTTTGAGCTTTGTTCCAAGGGTAATAGACTGGTTTTACACAGGCGTGTGACCTGAGCTTGTGTTTGCAAAAGATCTCGAGAGAGAAGCAAGGAGGGTGGATTTGTGGAGAGCAGGAAGGCGGAGGGAGGCGGTGGGAGTCTGTCGGAAGGAGAGGCTGAACCAGCCATTCTTTGTTTCACAGCCAGCCGTGGGCCACCCAGCCCTTGCTCTAGAAAACGCAGGCTGTGTGTGGACACATTACATCTTCTATGCTAGTTCGGGTCACAGACTCAATCTAGAGCTGGGCACCCTTCCCCCAGCAAGAAACACATGACCGGGTAGTTAATGCTGTGTCACTGGTGAGGAAGAGAGACAGCAACCCCTTTGCAATCAGTTAGCAAATGCTTATTGAGCACCTACTATCGCAGATGAAACCAGCGCCACTCCTGTAGAGCTGACAGTCTGATGGAGATGACAGGCTAAAACAGCAGTCATGTGCTATCCTGTTACAAGTAGGGTGCATGTTCCAGAAGGAGGACATTGTTTTCTTATGGACTCGTGTGGTGTTTGAGAGCCACGCTGGACTCCCATGCCTGGGTCCGAATTCCGGCTTTACTGCTTATTACCTACATGACCTCGGATGCATACGGTGACTTCTCTGTACCTTCGTTTTTTTTTGAAAAACATGTAAAACGCATGATTTCTGTCCAATGGGATTGTCATAAGAAGTGAGCGCTAGGAAGAGCTTTTTTCTTTTAAGAGTTATTCATTTTTATTTGAAAGGCAGGCTTTACACAGAGAGAAGGAAAGGTTGGAAGAGAGCTCTCCCATCCACTGGTTCATTTTTCAAGTAGTTACAACAGCTGGAGCTGGCATGTCAGGGAGGACTCTGAGGTTTCTGTACCAACAGGTGGACAGTGTCTTTCTGAGACAGAAACTGAAGGAGGACCCGGGGTATGGGCGCCAGGGGAGGGAGGGAGGGAGGATGTGCAGAGGATGTTAGAAGCCCAAGTTCTATGTATCATGGATGCACTGAGCCCAGCATGCCTTTGAGACACCAAGTACAGGAGTTGACTGGGCTTTTGGGTAGCTGGCTGGGGGGTTAGTGTCAATGTCTGGGCTGGAGAGAAAGGTGGACGCGTGACAGAAGCTGGGTGACGGTCTAGGCTGTGGGTGAGAGCAGGCTTGCCAGGGCAAGGGAGAGCAGAGGTGGCCGAGGCCTGAGGTGTGGGGTTCACGTGCTGGCGCTGAGCAAAGCAGGATCTGCCTACACAGGCTGGGAAGAGTGAACAGAGAGTTTGGGAGACACCCAAGAGAGGGGGGCTCCTGGAAGGCAGCCAGCGGTGGAGGTGAGGTTATGAGGGGCAGGGCCTCAGGTAGTGCCATGGGTATGGAGCGCTGAAGACCATCAGATTGGCACTGAGGGCCACGGGTAGGGCAAGGGAGGCAGTGGAGTTTCAGAGAACTTTCTGTGTGGAGGAGAAAGAGACTAAGACACCGTAGGACTGGAGAGCTGTGTTTCAAGGTGCAAGGGACCTGAGTATGTTTACAAACTGCAGGCAGATCCCAGCTGGGTAGATTCCTCAAGGCAGTGGGGAACAGCAGGTGTGAAGGGCTGGGATCGGGCATGGGGGTGGGTGGAGGGGTTGGGCCTGCGTGAGGATGGGGGTGAGGGGCTGACTTCTCTAGAACCCCAAAGCAGGAGCCAAGGGAGGGTGGTACCAAGGTAAGTGTAGGCTTGCAGTGGGTGTTCCGGGAGACTTCATCCTGAGCTGCTATTTTCTTCTGCCAAGTGGGAGGCAAGGTCTGCTGAGAGCGAGGAAAAGGTGGAGAGGCATTTGCAGGAGGGGGCGGGCATGAGCATTCAGAGTGGAGATTCAGCTAGCAAGCCCACAGCATCCCTCAGGTCCTCATAGTCTGGCTGGCCAGTGGAGGTCAGTGGTTGCTGAGGGCTGTGTGTCAGGGCCTGTCTGCTCGCTCCTCAGGCCCTGCCCACTGGGCTGCAGACAGCTGTGCTGGGGCTTCTGCCTGGGGCTCTATCAGCTGGGTGGGTGGAAGTCTGATGTGGAGGCAAAGGGATGGCATTTCTGTTGGGTCTGGGCTTCTCGGGGCGGGGGGGGGGAGGGGCGGATTGCCAAGATAGGTGTGGCTGGCTTCTAGGGAGAAAGAAGGGGGCACCCAGGCAGTTGGGAGCTAGATGCCTGAGATCAGAGGGGGCTGCCAGCTTAAATGGGTGGTGATGCTGAGGAGCTCGAATGGGTGAAGAACTCATGCCACGAGCATGCATGTCCCTGCAGGACCTGAGACTTTGCAACAACTCCCCCAGGGAGCACCTGTGGTCCCCAGTTGAGAATGCAATGATTCAGTAGGATGGGAACTCCCTGAAAGCACTCGCATGCTGTCTTACTGATGGCATGACTCTTCCCCCCTCCACTTCCAACACCATGTTTGCACACAGCAGATGCTTACTCACTGCTGGTGAATTCATCAATAAGTTTTAGAGGGTAGAGGTCTTCCTGGGAGTGAGGCCTGTTGGCCAGAAAGGAGAAAACTTGTAGCAGGCAGTGTAGACAGAACTGGGCTGTGCATCCTCAGCTGACCTGGGCAGAAATGGAGAACTGGTATTAAATTAAAAAAACCAGCACCGAACCCAGCCAGGATGGCCTGCTATTAGTTCCCATCTGGCAACAGGTTGTCTGTTTTTGTTTTGTTCCTAATAAAATTCATTGCTGGCGCTTGACGCTTTGTCCTCGGCTCCGGAGAGGCTGGACAATTTCTTTATCTCCCTGATTTTCCAAATCATACCCTTCGCTGCATTGCCTTGGGGACCAAGCTTGAAATTAAAACATTAAACCGATAAAATATAACATGGCAACAATTAAGGCAGCAGCAAACAAAACAATGCATTAAAAAAAAATCAGCCGCAGAGAATTTCTCAACCGGTTTGGAAAAAGATGTCTTTGTTAGCCTTAGAAGGCAGAAGCTTCTGGACCACTCTACTGCAAATGCCTCTTGGGTAAATGGCATGCCTTAGTCACCCAGGATGCCCAGGGAGGGCACTTGGGAAGTGAGCGAGGGGCAGATACGCTATAGAAAGGCAAAGGACTCTGTGGGTGGGCCCTGAAGAGATGGGAGGCAATGTGGCACACAGGACAGGATCCGGGCCAGGAGGCAGGGCACTAGCTATTTGGGCTGGCCTCTCACCCTCTCTGGAACCCCAGCATTACCTTATGTTCAATGAAGTTCCTGGACAACAGGCCTTTACAATACTGGTACCCTCAAGAGAGGTTGCCCAGCTGGGAAGACCAGGTCCAGAGCAGGTCTCCTTTGGCCAGGGTAACTAAACTTGTTTTTTTCATCTGGACTAAGTCACTTTGAACATTAGATTTCTCACAGCTTCCTCCTCTCTCTCAGAGGAAAATTATTTTTTTTTTCCTCCGGTGTCACAGGGATGTTTGAAAGGTTGGCCTGGTGTTGCTGCAGTAACGTGGAGTTCAGAGAGATGTCAAGGCTGACCTCAGTCCATCGGGGCTGAGAGATACTGTCACCTGTCCCCTTACCCTTGGGTCCGGCTCCTCCCGTCTGCAACCCGCCTCCGGGACCTGCTTGGACCCCTGCCCCCGCCACAGCATTTCTCTACTCCATGGGGGGCATCCCACAGTCTGTAGTAGACCCTGCAAACTACCCCACCCCATGCTGTGATTCAGTGAGCTGCAGCTCCCTGGGGTCAGAGCCTGTGTCAGGAATGGGAGATGGTGTGATGCAAGAGGTTTTTGGCTGTACCCTCGTAAATACATCCTAGCCGATTCAACTTTTCATTTCAGTGGATGGAATTAAAAGTGGGGCCAGAGAAAATGGATGGGCATTTGGCCTAGTGGTTAAGATACCGGTGTTAGGGTCAGCATGGTGCCGCAGAAGGTTAAGCTACTGCTTGGGATGCCCGCATCCCACGTGATAGTGCTGGTTCAAGTCCCAGCTGCTCTGCTTCTGCTAACACACTTGGGAAAGTAGCAGAAGGTGGTCCCTAGTCCTCAGGCCTCTGCTGCTCACATGAGAGACCTGGACAGAGTTCCAGGATCTTGACTTTGGCTTGACAGAATTCTGGCTTTTATGACCTTTTGGGGAGTAAACCAACAAATAGAAGATGTGTTTGTCTATCTCTCCCTACTGCTTTACTTTTTAAGTAGATGAGAAT